ATTTAAATTCAATCTAGAAATGGAATTAATAAAATTTTTTTTTGCCTCCCCCAATTTCACACTCAAACCTCGACCACCTCCCAACCCTACCTAAACCACCATTTTTTCTCTCGTGCCTTCCTCTCCGGCAAACTGCAAAGAACTTCGTAGCCAATCATTGCGGCCTTCTTGGCTCTACCAGTTCATCATCCTTGTTGTAGCAAAAGTCGGCGGCATTCACACAAACAACATGCACACTCAGTGGCGGAGCCAGGAATTAAAACACAATGGGTCTTAGTGTAAAAGTCCTAAAAAAAAATTTAGGATGGAATCAACATATATATTCTACATATGCAAAAAAACTGAAAATAAAAACTCACATTGTTATTGGAAATGAGTGTGATAAACATCTCTAAGAATCTCATACTTCACTTACGCACTAAACACATAAACTTGAGACATCATTTTATTCGAGATCACATAGAAAAGGGAGGGAGGAGAGAGGAGAGAGGAGATTATGTAGTTACCCTAAATTCCTTAATTAAACTGCTGCCTAAGTTTTAATTTAAAAAAAAATAATAATTAGAATGGCATGCACAGGCTGAGGCGCAAGAGTGACAGAAGTTGCAGCTTTGGATAGATATTAAAGTGTAAACTTTGTTATTATTGGGGGCAAGAATGCTTTGTGATGGTTCAGAGGCCAATAGATAGCAATTTGCCATTTTTCTTTGACTTCAATTACAGTGTCTCATAGGCGGACCCATAATTTTTTTAGCGGAGGTGCGATATTGACCAAGTATGAAAAATGATTTTTCGGAATAATCATTTTCTCAAGATAATTTTTGGCGGCTTTTATTCCTTACACATCACATAAGAAAACTTGATTTTATGGGATTTTAGTATGAAGTATATATTGACTTAATGAGCCATCATTTTTAGCCTAAATCATATTTTGCACTAAAATCAAATTTTCATATTTTGATTTGGTGGGAATTTGATTTTCTAGTATTTTTATTTGAATCCAAATGGGGGGTACTTCCTTATTTACATTGTAAACTTAAGTAAATGGAGTAATATAAAAATAAATAAAAGTAAAAGAACAAAGACATTTACTTAGATGTTGAAAATGGAAATAATGACAGATTGGGGAAGCAGTGGCGCGCGCTAGCCTTCTTCTTCAAGAGGTCATACCAGCAGCTCCAATGGACCTCTAAGCCTATTTCCATGGCTTTCAAGAGGTCATGCAACCCCAATAACCCCACTGTAGCTCCACCACTGTGCACACTGCAGATTCCATAGCCCACTAGAACCCTCGTCATTGTTCGCACCAAGACCACCCACGTCTTCTTGTATTGGGTTGAAAAGGTGGGTCTAGGTTCCGTGCTGGTGGTGGAGAAGGAAGGTGATTGCAGCAAGAAAATAACTCAATAACTTTCTTTTGCTACAGAATGCAAGATCATGACTATTAATAATTAAATTTGTATAATTATTTGAATTTGAATATTTATAAAAAAATTTCCTTCATTTTTAACAGAATTTTGACAGAAAAGACCACATTTACTAAAATATACAAATACATGGATTAAATTAGCCAAATTAATAACACAAGAACTAAGAATTAAAACAAAAGAACCATTTCAACATTTAAGCCTAAAAAAAACATTTTGATCATGTGGGCTGCTTTCGCAAGAGATAAAGAAAACCTCTTTCTCTACAACCTAGTGATTTATAATAAAATATTATTTATCTTACTATTTCTATTGCATGCTGCCATAATCCCTATATTTTTACATTGTAATAGAGGTGAAACGCATCACTCAATGACTTTCAGTATGGGCAGTAGCCAAAAATATTAGAATTTAATTTATGCATACGTTCAGTGCTCAAATTTAAGGGATGAAGCCACGTGAAGATTTTGTTATATAAAAACAAAAAGAAGCAAAAAAGAAAAATGGAAGGCCGGCCACCCCACGTGAAATGGAGAAGCAACGGCTGCCTACAATTACAAAGCAAACCATCAAAAGCCAAAGGAAGCATCGGATGCAAATTAATTAAAAAAAGTAACAGAAACCGTGCGAATGCCGGTCTTCATTCTTAATAGCCACACCATGCCAAGCATATAAAAAGTAAAATCTAATAGTAAAGATTGCTAGCTAGGTAACAATATCAATTTACGGTGCCTAATACATTAATTAGAACTAATCGTTAATTTTTTTGATACTCTAACGATAATATTGATAATTAGGAGGTGTATCCAATTCAAACTTTTAATGAATTTTATAGAGTTTAAATGTCTGGATGTATTCAATTTAGATTTTAAAGAGTTTATAAAAGTCTAGTAGTATTCAATTTTGACTTTTAAAAAGTAGTTAAAAGTTTGGTGATATCCAGTTATGACTTTTAAGAAGTCATTAAGAGTTTAGTTGAATCCAAAAAGTTAATGACTTTTAAAAAAACTTATTAAATGACTGACTTTTCTATACTTTTAAGGCTAATTGTTAAGAGCAAAAATCTTGCTAATTTACTAGTGATTTTTATAAACTCTATCAAAATATTTAAGAATTTGTCAACTCTATGAAAGTTACTCACTTCAAAAAAGTCTTTATAAGTATGAATTGGATACACCTAGTATTGAATTTGTAATATATCAGGTACTATAAATTTATATTCCGTATTTTTACCAAAAAAAAATTTATATTCCGTATCAGGCGGTAAGTAGCTATATAGCCATATTTTCGAGTAAATATTATATGAGCATTGAAGATAATTAACATTTATTCTCTTTGTACTTTAGTAGTTGGGATTGTATCTGGTCCTGATTTTGCATATATATTATTTGGTAAAGTCTTCTGAAAAAGCACAAATCATCAAAGTTTGTGGACATGAGAGAGAGATTACTGTGGCTGGATTGTCAACAAAGTGTGAATGGCTTTTCTTCATGGTCCTTTGGCTTCATCTTCTACCCTTCTGCGTTGGTCACATTCATGTAATCTTATAAAGGAAGCCACGTACCACAAAGGCTACCAAAGGCTGAGTTGGAATCCCATTCTAACTATGGATTCTTGTGGTTTCAGAGGATCTAGTTACATGAGAACTAGGAACGGAGAACTTTCCCTCTTTTCAACCCGACTCTTTGGTCTTAAGAATGCTGGTTTTAAGAATGAGTGATTGCCCTTCTCTAACCCTTACTGTCCAACCTAAAAGCAGACAGCTAATACGGTCCACTTATTGATAACTATTGTAGATTAATGTATATTAAATTGGCTTGTATTAATATGACTTTATACACAATACTAGATCAGATTCAGAAACTTTAATAATTGTGACCACAAAAGGAAGCAGTATAGGTCCTACCTGTGCATTTTTTCCTACCTAAACCCTAAACACCTTTTGTTTTTGTGATCATCTAAAAATGCTAAATTAAGGACGAAAAAAGACAATTAAAGGACTCTCACGATCACTCTACAATACTGTGACCTGAATGCTGAATCAGCAGCTTAAGTTTCAGCCCATTTGCCACATACCTTGAAAATATCCCATCCAATTTCATGCAACTAATCACACAAAAAACAACTTCTTTTGACTTGATCGCACAGGACAGCTTAGGGCCCGTTTGATAACCATTTCAATTTTAGTTTTTAGTTTTTATTTTTTGTGTTAAAGTATGCAGGAAAAATAAGGAGAATGAAAGTGAGAATGAGAGTGAAGATGAGATTGAGAGAGAAGATGACAGGGGAGGATAAGAGGAAGGAGTGACAAAAGTGAAAACAAAAACTATAAACTAAAATATATTTGAAATTGTTTTCACTTTCAAGTTTTTATTTTCACTTTTATTCCTCCTCCCTCCCATATCCTCCCTTCTCATCATCTCCCTCATCTCAATCCTCGCTTCCACTCTCATTTTCCTCTAACACTCTAGCACAAAAAATAAAAAATAAAAACCAAAAACTAAAATTGAAATGATTATCAAATAGCCCTTAGCTTTTGCATTCCCACCTTTAAGAAAAGCCTACTTAATACGTAGTCCTATCAAAAGCAGGAAAAAAAAGCATTGCTTGATAAAGTCCAAAACCAAAAGATTAAAAATAGGGGTTGAGTTTGGCACTTTAGCCTTTAATCATACTTATCTTCTGATTTTTAAAAAAAATCACAAATTCTTCTCTTCTCTCTCCTTATCTTTCCAACCCCACTGATATCTCATAAAGGTCTATAGATAGGGAGAACCAAGCCACATTATACTCACTCAGCAATCATCTCTTGCATACTTTCATATATACATTATCGTGCTTGTTGTTAAGCAAAACATGGCATCCTCAAAGGCTTTTCTTCTTCTTGGTCTTGTCTTTGCTGTTCTCCTCATCTCCTCTGAGGTCTCAGCTACTCCAACTCGTGAGTTTCTCACTTTCTTATCTAAATCATATATATTAAATTAGTAATTGTATCTTTCTTTCCAGTAACGATTTGTGAATTTAGGCACATTTTAATTAAGGTGCACTGGTTGTGAAAATGATTATGCTTCGAATATGTACTAGATATATATAGCATTTGTGCTCCAAAATATATTAATTATGAGAATATCTGGATGTAATTTACTCTTTCTGCATGGAGGGCTAGTGGTTGTTGTACTTGCATGGCTTAATCTGTGATGGTTAAGTGATGTATATTTTAGAGACTAATGCTATTTGTAACATATTTATTGACCACATTGCTGGTCACCTTTTTAATATAGATGGGCAACACATATACTGGTGGGGTCACCTCTATTAGAGAGGTGGTCAGCAATGTGGTCAGTAAATATGGTCCAAATAGCAGCACTCTATTTTTTTTTCTATATATTTATTGGGTGCTGATTTTTCCACTCCCTTTTTGGTTTTTTAATGCTTTTTACTTTAACTTACAAGAGAGTGTAAGTTGACAAAAGATATGTGGGAACATACAATTTCCAACAAAAGGAGTGTAAGTGGATAAAATAGGAATGATAAAATCAACTATATATATAAAGTTTTTGTTTGTTCTATCAGAGGAGAGTGCAGTCAACTATGGTGACAATTTTCTTGATGAACACGAGCATGGGCATGGGCATGGGCATGGGCATGACCACAGGCACATCCATGGCCATGGGCATGACCACAGGCATGTCCACGGGCATGGACGACATGGCCATGGCCATGGCCACCACGGCAAAGGGGGACCTGGTGCTGCTGAGACTGAAATCGAGAATTAGATAACCTGTTAGTTTTTGTGACTTATGTCGCAGGTGTATCGTAAGGGTAGTAGTATGCAATAAAGTTGTAATGGTTTGAGTAATATATATAGACTCTCGATCATAGGTTGGCCTTAAGCTTGTTCTTGTGTTCTCTGTCATGTACGGATTGGATCACCTTATGTACTAAAATGTGATTTAACGTGCTGAATACATATTATGTCAAAAATGTCTAGTATGGTTTGGCTACTTAAAATTGAGGAGGACATCCTCACCACAAATGAGATTTTGAAACTTGTTAAACTTCAAAAGAAAAAGAGGTTAAGGGAATTCAAAAGAAAAAAAAATTAAAGGAATTTACCAAGTTTCAAAAGTCTATTTGTTTTGAGGACGAACTCCTCCTCAGTTTTAAGGAGTCTAAGTTTTTTCCTAATATTAATAGAGTTTCATATATGACTCATTTGTTTTGTGTGATCACCATTTTGGTTAATGAGTTGTGTACCTAATCTTAATGAAGTAATTTACGATTGATTTTATGTGAACATTGGAAGCCAGAGTAGTGTTTACACCGTTGACAAGGGATTGGAAGATCTAGCTTGATGGAAAAATAATAAGGAGCAAAACTTATAGTGGCATGCCGTGCATGTATTGTTGTTATCATGGTGATACTAATTTGGCAATTTCTAGCTTGATGAAAAAAAAGAAGAAGATAATGAAGTAACATGTATCCGAATTGATGGAGTTCCATTAGATATATATATAAGAAGATCAATTACTCCTAAACCGTGGAAAAGTATATATGCAATTAGCAGTGTACAAAATAATGAAGTAACATGAACAATAGAGTGTTACTATTTATTATAACTATCCAAAAATTTAGAAATACCTCATTCACTGCTTTTTCTTCTATTTTGCGGGCACACCAAAACCTACATCTTATGAGCCCTTTGCCTAATATTGTTGAAACAAAAAATTTAGCCCATCCTACCCGTTAAATCTACTGCATACTCTAATATAAAAAGAATTTCTAGCCACCCCCAAACAAATTTTTACTTCCGCCCTTGTATAAAAGTGTAACTATTGCCTTTTTTTTAGTGACAATTCCTGGATCATTAGACAGGAATCCAAAAATAAAGAGAGAAACAAAGAATATCACTACCATTCAAGATTGACACGAAACCTGTACAAAAACATGCAACTGACACGTAACTGTTGCCCAATAAACACACAACTTAAAGCTGACCACAAGTGTTACTAATAAATCTCCCTATCTTCATATGCCACTTTGTGCAAGGACAGACCCAGCCATATCTAGTCAGGATGTCAACTCAAATTTTAGATAATTTATCGATAGCTAGGTAGTTCAGCCCTTAGGGAGAAGGAAAAAAAAACCTAGCCCATTTATTAGCCAATCCAACCTTATAAGTTATCACCCCAAGACAAAATAAAAAGTAAAAGACAATATGTGCCCATAATATAGTTAATGAGAGCAAGCAGAGTGAGCTATGTCATGTCACTCAAATTTCACCAATTGTGCCCATAATATAGTTAATGTTCCTTGCATTTTCAGCTTCTTTTCAGCAAGTAAGATATGAGTTTTGATTCTTATTTACAACTTGTAGTTGTGTTTTGATGCATGTTGACATGAACTGACCACCCATATACACAGATTTCCAAAGGCACGAGCTTGTTGCTATATTCTTATTCTAAAAGCACTTCTTAATACAAATCTAATCCTTTAGAAATTCATCTTTTTTACCTATTATATCTTTTTTACCTACTATCGCTTGTACTAAAACAAAAAAAAATCGGATGTCAACCCGAAATGTTCTTTATTAGATTTTTTTTTATTTTTGGGTCCGTACATCTTGTCACAAGAGAGAGAAAAAAATAAAGTAGGTGATTCTTCTCTTATTTTGGTTTTTCTCACGAGCTTCATCGTCTTTGAATAAGCCATGCATAACACATTAATTTTTAATTAAATAAGGGATCAGTTTCTATCAATCATAATTGACAAAACAGTTACCACCAAATACTATTATTTTATAAACTCAACAATCTTTTGTCACTAATTACACAATTTGAATATAAAAAAATGGTGCAAAACCAAAAGCTGTGAAGCCATTGAGCAATGTACTTGATGGAAGGCCATACCCAACAATTAAGAAGCTGATACTGATACACCACCAATCTCAAAATTAGCACATAAATTTATTTGATTGCAGATGTTAATACAAGTCCAGGAATTAGAATGATGGGAGAAATGAATTAACCAGCTGGTGAAAAAGTGAAAACTGTAAACTGGTTATATACAGTGGCAGCAGTAAAACAGTAAACCCAGCTTCTCTGATTTTAAGCCTGTTGGTGTGTAATCCTTCAGCCGAGTTTTTGGAGCTAAAGGAATTGTGTCTGCTCTGTTTTCATTTCTTTTAGTTGTTTATTTTTTCTTCAGCTTTATTGTGCACCCTTGGATCACAGTCCAAGTGTTTTAATCTCTAGCATAGGATTAAGTGACATGTGTAAGCATCTAATATGATGCTAGAACTTGAGCTTATTGTAAATATGGTACAGGGAAGAATATCTCTTTTTTTCCTCTCTGCCAGTGGAACAGATATGAAATACACAGAAGCATTTTTCATTCTCCAGAGCAACGCTCTCTCTCAATTTTTCTGTGATTTTCTTCTTTGCTCCCAAAATATCCAAAATATGAAATGCTGAAACAAAGAATTCTAACATGGTATCAGAGCCCAGGTTCGATTGCTTGAGCTGGGCGTGAATCTGTGATTGAATCGGAGAAATTGGGTTTTTGTTTGAGCTAAACTTGAGCTCATCTGAAGATCGCGATTTCTCAAATCCAATGTCTAATATGGCAGGATCGAGTACCTCTGAGCTGCAAACTCCAATTTTCAATGGAGAAAATTATGAGTTTTGGAGTATCAGAATGAAAACTATTCTGAAATCTCATGGTTTATGGGATCTGGTCGAGAATGGGTTAAGTGACCTAGATCTGAAGAAGGAGAAAGAGGAGGCTGTAGACACTGAGAAGTCTATGGTGGTTCAGACTCTGATGAAGGATGCTCGTGCACTTGGATTGATCCAAAGTGCTGTTTCAGATCAGCTATTTCCAAGGATTGTGAATGAGGAAACTTCGAAGGGAGCTTGGGATATTCTGAAGCTGGAATTCAGAGGAGATAAACAGGTACGAAATGTCAAATTGCAAGGGCTGCGTAGGGAATTTGAATATACCCGCATGAAGGATAGTGAATCTTTATCTGTATATCTGGTTAGGTTGTTTGATATAGTAAATCATATGAAGAGTTATGGTGAGGAACTATCTAGAGAGAGAATTGTCCAGAAGCTATTGTTTAGTTTGCCTAAATCTTATGATTCTATCTGCTCTGTAATTGAACACTCTAAGGACCTTGAAACTCTTGAGGTTCAAGAGGTTGTTGCTTCACTGAAGAGCTTTGAGCTCAGATTGGATAGACACACTGAGAATTCTACAGAAAAAGCCTTCTCTAGTCTGAATGTTGGTAGGAAAAACCCTGAAAATGGAATTGCTTCTGCAGATCAAATACCTCAGAAAAATTGGAAATCCAATGATGGAAACAAAATGGCCTGCAAACATTGTGACAGATTTCATTATGGCAAATGTTGGTATGAAGGGAAACCTAAATGCCATGGTTGTGGGAAGCCTGGACATATGATCAGAGATTGCTATGGACACAAGAATGTGCAGAGAGTGAATTATGCAAATCAGGAGGAAGATTGTGGCACTTTGTTTTATGTGTGTAATGCTGCAACTGATGTGAAGGTAAATCACTCTTGGTATATTGACAGTGGTTGTAGTAACCACATGACAGGAGATGAGGGACTTTTGGTCAATATTCAAAGGAATTTGAGCTCTAAGGTGAAGATGGGAACTGGAGAAGTGGTCCCAGTTGCTGGAAAAGGGACTTTGGTGATAAAAACTAAGTTAGGCAAGAAGCACATTCATGAAGTAATGCTTGTACCTGGCCTTGAAGAAAATCTGCTTAGTGTTGGGCAAATGATGGAACATGGCTATCACCTTGTGTTTGGAGGAAATGTGGTGAGTGTTTATGACAATCAGTCACTAGAAAATCTGATTGTGAAGGTGCAGATGACAAATAACAGATGCTTTCCATTGACAATGATGCCTGCGAGTGAGTTGGTCCTAAAAGCAAGTGTCACACATTGCTTGCAGACATGGCATAAGAGGCTGGGGCATTTAAATGAAAGAAGTATAAAATTGCTTGAGAATCAAGGGATGGTTCATGGCTTACCTCACTTGGAGCAGAAGTCAGTTGTATGTGATGGTTGTATGCTTGGAAAACAGCATAGGGATTCTTTCCCTTTGGAATCCACTTGGAGAGCTTCAAACCCTTTGGAATTGGTTCACACAGACATCTGTGGACCAATGAAAACAGAATCACTATCTGGAAACAGGTACTTTCTACTGTTTACAGATGATTTTACTAGAATGTCATGGGTGTACTTCATCAGAAATAAGTCAAGTGCATTGGAATGTTTTAGAAAATTCAAAGCTATGACTGAGCTGCAAAGTGGGTATAAGATAAAAGGCTTGAGAAGTGACAGGGGTGGAGAGTTTCTATCTGGAGAATTCAACAAGTTTTGTGAGGAATCTGGTATTCAAAGGCAGCTAACTATGGCATATTCTCCACAGCAAAATGGAGTGGCCGAGAGGAAGAACAGGACAGTAGTGGAAATGGCCAAGTCCATGTTGCATGAGAAAGGTGTTCCCTATGAGTTTTGGGCAGAAGCTGTAAATACAGCAGTCTATCTGCTGAATAGATGTCCTACCAAGGCTCTTAACAAGATAACACCATTTGAAGCTTATACTGGCAGAAAACCAGGAATTGCACATTTAAAAATATTTGGATCTCCTTGTCATGTGCTTATTCCTTCAGCATTGAGGCATAAGCTTGAAGAAAACAGTCACAAGTGTATTTTTGTAGGCTATGGTCTCTGTGAAAAGGGATATAGGCTGTTTGATCCAAGTACTAGGAAGATAATTCTGTCCAGAGATGTGCAATTTGATGAAAATGGCTTATGGAAGTGGGAAAATACAAATGAAGAAGAGATGGTAGTCCCTTTGCCTACTGAGAATCAAAGCTGTGAACCAAGTCAAAGCTTGGATACATCACTGCAAATGGATGAAGAAGTCACATTACAAGCTGAACCAAGTCAAAGCTTGGATACACAAACTCAAATAGTTGAAGATACCACTCTGCAAGATGAAGGCATAGGTGAAAGTTCTCATTTCTTTGATCACACACCAAAGAAATGGAGAAGTGTAAGTGAAATCATGGCTAAGTGTAATGTGTGTATTGTGGAACCTGAAAATTATGAAGATGCAGCTCAAGATGAGTCATGGAGAAAGGCAATGGAAGCTGAACTGGAAATGATAGAAAAAAATGACACTTGGAAACTTGTCGAGAGACCATTTGCTAAACCTGTGATTGGTGTTAAGTGGGTCTACAAGACTAAACTGAATCTAGATGGTACTGTGCAGAAAAACAAGGCTCGTTTAGTGGCTAAAGGCTACTCACAAAAGCTCGGTATTGATTAGGACTTTGATTGCTCTTGCTGCACATAAGGAATGGAGCTTGTATCAACTAGATGTGAAATCTGCATTTCTTAATGGAGTTTTAAAGGAGGAAGTATATGTGGAGCAACCACAAGGATTTGTAAAGAAGGATGAGGAAACAAAGGTATACAAGTTACACAAAGCTTTGTATGGTTTGAAGCAAGCACCAAGAGCTTGGTATGACGAGATTGATGCCTATTTCAACAAGGCTGGTTTCAAGAAAAGTCCAAGTGAGGCAACTTTATATGTTAAGGCAGAAGGTTAAGATGTTCTTATTGTTTCTCTATATGTTGATGACATAGTGTACACGGGTAGCAGCTCTCAAATGATTGAAGAATTTAGGAGAGATATGATGGAACACTATGAGATGACAGATTGGGAGTATTACACCATTTTCTTGGAATGGGGGTGATACAGTCTAAACAAAGCATTTTCTTGCATCAGAAGAAGTATGGACAGAAGCTGGTTGAAAAATTTGGTTTGAAAGATTGCAAAATAGTGGCTACACCACTTGCAATGAATGAGAAGTTAAGTAAGAATGATGGAAGTGAGGCTGCAGATGAAGGAGAATATAGACAGATTGTGGGCAGTTTGCTCTACTTGACTGCAACTAGGCCTGACATAATGTTTGCAGCTAGCCTCTTGGCAAGATTCATGCACAATCCCACCAAGAAACACATGGGAACTGCTAAAAGGGTATTGAGATACATTCAAGGAACAATAGACTTTGGAATTGTATTTGAGAAAGGAAAAGAAACTACTCTTATTGGCTATTGTGATAGTGACTGGGCAGGAAGTGAAGATGACATGAGGAGTACCTCAGGGTATGCTTTTACTATGGGATCGGGAGTGTTTTCGTGGGCTTCAATTAAGCAAAATACAGTTGCTTTGTCTACAGCAGAGGCAGAATATATAAGTGCTGCAGAGGCTACTTCTCAAACAAAGTGGCTGAGATTTGTACTTGAAGATTTTGGAGAAGAACAGATTGAAGGAACACAGATAATGTGTGATAACACATCAGCAATTGCTATGGCAAAGAACCCTGTTTTCCACCAGAAGTCAAGGCACATTAACAGAAAGTTTCATTTCATTCGAGAAGCAATTCAAGCCAAGGAGATAGAACTTGTCTACTGCAGAACTGAGGAGCAAATTGCAGATATTTGACTAAAGCTTTGCCTAAGGACAGGTTTGCATACTTAAGGGAATTACTTGGTGTTAAGTCGGCTAAAGGATTAGAAGGGAATGTTGGTGTGTAATCCTTCAGCCGAGTTTTTGGAGCTAAAGGAATTGTGTCTGCTCTGTTTTTCATTTCTTTTAGTTGTTTATTTTTTCTTCAGCTTTATTGTGCACCCTTGGATCACAGTCCAAGTGTTTTAATCTCTAGCATAGGATTAAGTGACATGTGTAAGCATCTAATAGGATGCTAGAACTTGAGCTTATTGTAAATATGGTACAGGGAAGAATATCTCTTTTTTTCCTCTCTCTGCCTAACGATTATAACCAAACAGTGGAACAGATATGAAATACACAGAAGCATTTTTCATTCTCCAGAGCAACGCTCTCTCTCAATTTTTCTGTGATTTTTCTTCTTTGCTCCCAAAATATCCAAAATATGAAATGCTGAAACAAAGAATTCTAACAAAGCCCTGATTTACTGGGCTTTACCCTCAAGTTGGAGAAAAGTTGAGTTGCAGCTTTAAGTTCACCAACGACATGTCGTTCAATTGTTGTTGCCAAAAATGGACAGCCAAACCACAACGACATATCACATACTTCTCTCTGTGCATCATCTTCTTCCCAGTACAGACTGCTTTGGCCAGCAAGAGAGCAACAGAAAATGAGACCCTCTTCCGCAACTCAAGCTCTCACTCTCCTCAACCCTCTGCCCAGAAACTTAATCTTCAACGCAGAGCCTCAGCCCTCATCTCTGCCCAGAAACTAAAATAAATTTACGAAGTCACAACCTCACTATCTTTTTTTGCTGCTGAACCCCTTCTGTTGTTTGTCTTTTGACTCTTCCACCTTGAACCCATATGGCTCCAACTTGTTCTTTGCTTCCGCCAAGAGCTTCTGGGGGGCCCATAAAGCAGCACCAAGTTGTCAACATCACACGAGTTCCATACCATGAGGGGAAGGTTAGGTCCTGGTATAAAAGACTTAATGGCTGCTGCAAAATTGTTCTGAGATTGGATGAAGGCTTGGTTGGCTTCTACAAGAGGATCGGGCTCTGGATTACGTGAGGAGGAACCCTTACCACCCTTACCCTTTGATTTTTTCATCTCTACGGGTTTGGGAGGATCGTGGCATTTTTGTCTTTGGAGCACAAGGTGGTTTTTGGCATCTGTGACGTTTTGCCAAGGAATATAAGTATTCCTCAGCCTATTCAGTCTAGGATCTATAGGAGCATCTTTTTTAACTAACTTCAGAGGCTCTGAGAAAGGGGTGGTCAATATGTAGGGAAGATTAGGAATGTTTGGCTCCATACTGAGGGAGAAGTGAGAGCTGGAGGTGAGAAAAAGAGGATGTGAGAAGCCGAGAGGGTGAGTTAGCAGAGGTGTGGGTTAGTGAGAAGTTGAGAGTTGGAGGTGAGAAAAAGAGGATGAGAAGGTGAGATTTTATAGTGAGTTGCAGCATGGACGGCTATGCCAAAAAGCAAGTTAAATTTAATTTGTTTTTACTGTCTAGTTTAGAATATCTCCAACTCACGTTGAAAAATATCAAACAAGATAAATATACATATATGGACAACAATATCCCTATCTATTGCCATGCACAATTCAACCAGCCAACACAAAAGATTGATATATTGACGAATAAAGAAACTGTCCCATTTCATGGCCAGAGCAAGTTCAAAATTTTCCTTTGTGGATATCGCTCCACATTGGGATTTTTACGACATGCAGTGACTGATAATTTGGACTTTTTGGCTACCGTCGAAGCTGGGAGTTAAGATTTTGGACATATTGATTTTATTTTGCAGGCATATATGTGTCATCTTATGTGTTAGCTTTTGTGGATTTCTTGGGTGCTTGCTTTATTGAGCACAATAAGCTAATACCTTTTGTATCTACATAATTTAAAGGATGGCAAAACAACAGTAATTTCAGTCCCTCAGAGTCATTAGTACTGAGACGCTAATTTGGATGTGTGATCTACCATCTCTTGAGTCTTGACTATTATGAGTGATGCCTAAAAGCCACTACTCGATGCCTACATTTGTACGGTCAATCTTCCAAGCTCTTTTTCTTTACTCCCTAGCTGCTGTGTTTCACCTCAGGGAGGTACATATATACCTCCCGCATACAATCAAAACCCATCTTTTCACACAGATTACAATTCTTTTTTTTTTTGTATATATAGATAATTTTTCTAATTATTTTGTTTTATGGGATTTTGATTATAATGTTTCCATTCAAAGAAATAAATAAAAATGTTGAAGAGCTGAGCTTTCACAGTTGATATTCATATCAATGAGCCAAGTAAATTAAATTAGAAGCCATTTTCATGACATGCTTTTGTTTTTAAGGATGGAAATGTAGACATGTAATGGACACAATAATAAACACGCATCTTGAAGCTGACCAAAAGTGTTAGTAATAAACACACTCTGTACAGGCACGAACCCAACCATGTCTAGGCAAATTTTAGTTAAAGTCTCAATCGCTTCTGAACTGTGAAGTAGATATCCATGATCGATCAATTGCACTTCTGTATCAGACATCATTGGGGTAGGCTCACTTTTAAAGAGACTGCATGCATGCTTGATGACGTTAAGATGGAACCACCTCAATTCACATTGAAAAAGGGTCAGAGTCAAGTCTGCATCATGGACCACCTCAATTCACTTGGGAAAAGCCAAGACTAAAACTTGTAAGAATCTTAAGCTTGTCATTTTATTGTAAACAATAAGATCTTTGGTTGGGGTTTCCAAAATAGGAAAGTTTTATTATTCTAATGTAAAGATGTTATTCCTTTTTTGGATTAATTGTGCGGGGGTATGTATCTGCACTTTTGTATCGGACAAATTTAATCTGTTTTCTACTGTAGTTTAGAATAACTCCAACCTATGTCGAAAAATATCAGACATGGAGGGTAATGGGGAAGCAAAGAGAGAGGGGTGGTGGGTCAAAAAGCCCTAGGACAACTTGTCTTTTCTCATCTTTGTACCGTTGGGACTTGGATTTTATGGCTGTTTGAGTTGTGCTTACTGGGTTTTACACTTTCTCGTGTTTCGGTTTCATCCACTCCATGACCTCTGACACTAACATATTGACTGACATTCATGACTGAGATTTTTTTTTTTTTTTTTTTTTTTTTTTTTTTTTTTTTTTTTTTTTGGAAAAGTAGTGGGATTTTTTGTACCAAAGGAAAAAAGGGTTTATGATATATAGATGTGAGGTGATGAATCAATGAGATGAGAGTGACATACTTTATTTTACTTTATAGCAGAAGAAGCAGATCCATGAAAAGTCATTGACCAAATGCCAAGCTAAGGCACTCTTGTAATTACAACGTGGAAAAAATCAAGGGAGCTTAAGCACAGCTCTTCTTCATTACTTACGGATTTTGGTTATCTCTCATTCTGGAGATTAATTAAACCAACTTAATTAAGAAAATATTGTTTTAGACTCGTAAAAATCTAACATTCGTATTCTTAAGAATCCTTCCTCTTGCTGCAACTAATGTCTTATTACTATACTAGGTTAGGTTGGCTATGTAAATGTAATTAAGTTAGGTTGGCTTCGAATTAATGAAAATCAATCTATCTGGAGAAGAGTTGCTCTAGTGCTGACAGATTGGCTAAGATTCGATGAGGTGTCAACACTCATTAGGGACGACACGTGGTCCTGCATCATCGTCCTCCTCAACTTCTGGCTCTTTGGTTTGTATCTATATCTAATTTAAATTAACTATGTTTTTAACATATTGTTATTTTCTGTTGGATTATTATTCGTAATTAAGCTCCTAATTGGATGTTGCAGTTTCGATGACTTTGATTTTGGGAGTGTATGGGTCTTCAAGTTTAGAGCTAGGCCCTAATAGTTCAATTCTTCTGCAACCTAACCCCCATATTTGCGCAGTCTGTAAGGGTATTTTTAGCACTAGCTCTACCATTTTCCATTTTACCTATATGATTCTGTGTGGTAATCTAGGTGGGTTTTTTGGTGGGCATTTATTAGGTAGAAGAGCTGAATATATCAAGTCCTGGTCATGTACTATATGGTTTCTTCTATAATACTCCTCCTCTTGATACTGAAATTGGTTTTGGATTGAATCCTCTGCATGTGAGGGGATGAGATGGATGTACATACACATATTTAACAAGGCATGCTTGATGCCACCTCACAGACTTCACAGACTCAGACATCATTACATGTGTTGCATGCAGATATTTATATTTTTTTGGTTGTCCTTATATTGGGTAGATATATAGCAGCAGGGAATCAAATTTTTATAAGATTTTACACATAAAAGAAATTGCAGGAAAAGTAGTGAGCTGAAGTGGTCCATGATCCATAACATGAATCTTTGAAAAAAGTAATGAGCTGAAGTGGAATGGTGAGTTTCAGATTGTAATCCGAAATAGGAAATGGAGGGTAATGGGGAAGCAAAGAGAGTGGGATGGTGGGTCTTTCTTTTTCTGCATTTACTGGTTACTGCAAAAGAATCAAATCTCTAACACGGGTGGTGGACTGGTGGGTCTTTCTATGCTAAACAGTTGATATATAACCATCGTCAACAATACCGAGAATATTGTTTTCAAGGCCTTTATAATGAGTTAGCTTAGCATCGATCTAAGATATCTTCTTCGCTTCTGCAAATCTGTCAGCTGTTGAATGCAGAGAGCGCATGCAATGCAATATGTTCATGGTCAGATTTTTGAATCCAACAAGCTTTCCCTTTTCCTGTTGGCTTTCTCCGTCACATAAGTTATAGAGACGTTTGATCCATCAGAGGATCCAATGCTCCCCCTGCAGGGCATGCACATAACACATAAAATAACAAGAGGACGCAAAATATAAAAATATTGATACTTTATTTTACTTTATAGCAGAAGAAGCAGATCCATGAAAAGTCATTGACCAAAAGCCAAACCAAAGCACTCTTGTAATTACAACGTGGAAAATATCAAGGGAGCTTGAGCACAGCTCTTCTTCATTACTTCCGGCTTTTGGTATCTCTCATTCTAGAGATTAATTAAACCAACTTAACTAAGAAAATATTGTTTTAGACTATCTAACATTCATATTCTTAAGAATCCTTCCTCTTCCTGCAACTAGTATCTTATTACTATACTAGGTTAGGTTGGCTATGTAAATGTAATTAGTTAAAGTTGGGTTGGGAGCAATGTGCTTGGCAACGCATTACTCAAATCAGTGACTTTATATTATTGGAGTCTATGGCATGAGATATGCTTTATATTATTGGACTTTATGGCATGGGAATGTGCTATTGTAGTTGTCGACATGGGGTAGGCTCACTAGACCACAGTCTTCATGTTAATAGAGATCATTGGGATCCCAATTTATGGTGAGTGCAACCCTAGTTGGTGAAAAATCTCCTTTATGTTGGATTTGATGAGGTGGGTGGGGTAAAGTGAAAAGGTGAGAGTTTTGGTTTTGGATTCTATATATTTGCTCTACCAAATTCATATCAGTTTTCAATCCAGAGACTGCATGCGTGATGATGTTAAGATGGATCACCTCAATTCACATTGAAAAAGGGCCAGAGTCTAGTCTAAGCAACCAATATGTCTGAAACAAACAGGTGTTCAAATCAATTACCGCCAATTCACATTGCAAAGATGTCAGTGTCAACACAAACAAGTAAATTAAATTAGAAGCCATTTTCATGACATGTTTTTGTTTTTAAGGATGGAAATTTAGACAGGTAATGGACACATGCATCTTGAAGCTGACCAAAAGTGTTACTAATAAACACACACTGTGCAGGCACGAACCCAGCCATGTCTAGGCAAATTTTATTTAAAGTCTCAATCGCTTCTGAACTGTGAAGTAGATATCCATGATCGATCAATTGCACTTCTGTATGGACCTCATACTCAGACATCATTGGGGTAGGCTCACTTTTACAGAGACTGCATGCATGCTTGATGATTGACCACCTCAATTAACTTTGAAAAAGGGTCAGAGTCAAGTCTGCATCATGGACCACCTCAATTCACTTTGGAAAGGCCAAGACTGAAACTCATAAGAATCTTAAGCTTGTCATTTTATTGTAAACAATAATATCTTTGGTTGGGGTTTCCAAAATAGGAAAGTTTTAGGATTCTAATGTAAAGATGTTATTCCTTTTTTGGATTAATTGTGGAGGGCGTGGGCGTGGGTACGTATCTACACACTTTTGTATCAGACAAATTTAATATGTTTTCTACTGTCTAGTTTAGAATAACTCCAACCTATGTTGAAAAATATCAGACATGGAGGGTAATGGGGAAGCAAAGAGAGAGGGGTGGTGGGTCAAAAAGCTAGTGGGAATTTTTGTACAAAAGGAAAAAAGGGTTTATAATATATAGACGTGAGGTGATGAATCAATGAGATGAGAGTGAGATACTTTATTTTACTTTATAGTAGAAGAAGCAGATCCATGAAAAGTCATTGGCCAAAAGCCAAGCCAAGGCACTCTTGTAATTACAACATGGAAAATATCAAGGGAGCTTGAGCACAACTCTTCTTCATTACTTACGGCTTTTGGTTATCTATCATTCTGGAGATCAATTAAACCAACTTAATTAAGAAAATATTGTTTTAGACTCGTAAAAATCTAAAATTCATATTCTTAAGAATCCTTCCTCTTACTGCAACTAGTGTCTTATTACTATACTAGGTTAGGTTGGCCATGTATATGTAATTAAGTTAGGTTGGCTTTGAATTAATGAAAATCCATCTATCTGGAGAAGAGTTTCTCTAGTGCTGACAGATTGGCTAAGATTCGATGAGGTGTCAACACTCATTAGGGACGACACGTGGTCCTGCATCATCGTCCTCCTCAACTTCTGGCTCTTTGGTTTGTATCTATATCTAATTTTCAAATTAACTATGTTTTTAACATATTGTTATTTTCTGTTGGATTATTATTCGTAATTAAGCTCCTAATTGGATGTTGCAGTTTCGATGACTTTGATTTTGGGAGTGTATGGGTCTTCAAGTTTAGAGGTAATAGTTCAATTCTTCTGCAACCTAACCCCATATTTGCGCAGTCTGTAAGGGTATTTTAGCACTAGCTCTACCATTTTCCATTTTACCTATATGATTCTGTGTGGTAATCTAGGTGGGTTTTTTGGTGGGCATTTATTAGGTAGAAGAGCTTAATATATCAAGTCCTGGTCATGTACTGTATGGTTTCTATAATACTCCTCCTCTTGATACAGAAATTAGTTTTGAATTCAATGCTCTGCATGTGAGGGGATGGGATGGATGTACATAAACAGATTTAATAAGGCATGAGCTTGATGCTACCTCACAGACTCAAACATCATTGCATGTGTTGCATGCAGAGATTTATATTTCTTGGTTGTCCTTAGCTTAGGCAAATATATTGCAGCAAGGAATCAACTTTGTATAAGATTTTACACATAAAAGAAATTGCAGGAAAAGTATAGAAAATAAGAGTACGACCCTAGTCAGTGAAATTGTGTTTCCTTGACCCGTCCCCCAAACAAACCACCCAAAGATCGTAGGTTTCGGTGGGAAGCTGAGTCAGCAAAACTGATGTCTTTGATTTTGGGAGTGTATGGGTCTTCAAGTTTAGAGCTAAAAGTTCAATTCTTCTGCAACCTAACCCCATATTTGCGCAGTCTGTAAAGGTATTTTTGGCACTAGCTCTACCATTTTCCATTTTACCTATATAATTCTGTGTGGTAATCTTTTGGTGGGCAATTATTAGGTAGAAGAGCTTAATATATCAAGTCCTGGTCATGTACTATATGGTTTCTATAATACTCCTCCTCTTGATACTGAAATTAGTTTTGAATTTAATGCTCTGCATGTGAGGGGATGGAATGGATCTACATACACATATTTAACAAGGCATGAGCTTGATGCTACCTCACAGACCTTACAGACTCAGACATCAATGCATGTGTTGCATGCAGAGATTTATATTTCTTGGTTGTTCTTAGCTTAGGCAGATATATAGCAGCAAGGAATCAACTTTGTATAAGATTTTACACATAAAAGAAATTGCAGGAAAAGTATAGAAAATAAGAGTACAACCCTAGTCGGTGAAATTGTGTTTCCTTGAGCCGTCCCCCCAACAAACCACACAAAGATCGTAGGTTTCGGTGGGAAGCTGAGTCAGCAAAACTGATGTCTTTGATTTTGGGAGTGTATGGGTCTTCAAGTTTAGAGCTAATAGTTCAATTCTTCTGCAACCTAACCCCATATTTGCGCAGTCTGTGAAGGTATTTTTGGCACTAGCTCTACCATTTTCCATTTTACCTATATGATTCTGTGTGGTAATCTTTTGGTGGGCATTTATTAGGTAGAAGAGCTTAATATATCAAGTCCTGGTCATGTACTATATGGTTTCTATAATACTCATCCTCTTGATACTGAAATTAGTTTTGAATTCAATGCTCTGCATGTGAGGGGATGTGATGGATCTACATATACAGATTTAACAAAGCATGAGCTTGATGCTACCTCACAGACCTCACAGACTCAGACATCATTGCATGTGTTGCATGCAGAGATTTATATTTCTTTGTTGTCCTTAGCTTAGGCAGATATATAGCAATAAGGAATCAACTTTGTATAAGATTTTACACATAAAAGAAATTGCAGGAAAAGTATAGAAAATAAGAGTACAACCCTAGTCGGTGAAATTGTGTTTCCTTGAGCCGTCCCCCAAACAAACCACCCAAAGATCGTAGGTTTTGGTGGGAAGCTGAGTCAGCAAAACTGATGTCATTGATTTTGGGAGTGTATGGGTCTTCAAGTTTAGAGCTAATAGTTCAATTCTTCTGCAACCTACCCCATATTTGCGAAGTCTGTAAAGGTATTTTTGGCACTAGCTCTACCATTTTCCATTTTACCCATATGATTCTGTGTGGTAATCTTTTGGTGGGCATTTATTAGGTAGAAGAGCTTAATATATCAAGTCCTGGTCATGTACTATATGGTTTCTATAATACTCATCCTTTTGATACTGAAATTAGTTTTGAATTCAATGCTCTGCATGTGAGGGGATGGGATGGATCTACATACACAGATTTAACAAGGCATGAGCTTGATGCTACCTCACAGACTCAGACATCATTGCATGTGTTGCATACAGAGATTTATATTTCTTGGTTGTCCTTAGCTTAGGCATATATATAGCAGCAAGGAATCAACTTTGTATAAGATTTTACACATAAAAGAAATTGCAGGAAAAGTATAGAAAATAAGAGTACGACCCTAGTCGGTGAAATTTTGTTTCCTTGAGCCGTCCTCCAAACAAACCACCCAAAGATCGTAGGTTTCGGTGGGAAGCTGAGTCAGCAAAACTGATGTCTTTGATTTTGGGAGTGTATGGGTCTTCAAGTTTAGAGCTAATAGTTCAATTCTTCTGCAACCTAACCTCATATTTGCGCAATCTGTAAAGGTATTTTTGGCACTAGCTCTACCATTTTCCATTTTACCTATATGATTCTGTGTGGTAATCTTTTGGTGGGCATTTATTAGGTAGAAGAGCTTAATATATCAAGTCCTGGTCATGTACTATATGGTTTCTATAATACTCATCCTCTTGATACTGAAATTAGTTTTGAATTCAATGCTCTGCATGTGAGGGGATGGGATGGATGTACATAAACAGATTTAACAAGGCATGAGCTTGATGCTACCTCACAGACCTCACAGACTCAGACATCATTGCATGTGTTGCATGCAGAGATTTATATTTCTTGGTTGTCCTTAGCTTAGGCAGATATATAGCAGCAAGGAATCAACTTTGTATAAGATTTTACACATAAAAGAAATTGCAGGAAAAGTATAGAAAATAAGAGTACAACCCTAGTCGGTGAAATTGTGTTTATGATATATAGACGTGAGGTGATGAATCAATGAGATGAGAGTGACATACTTTATTTTACTTTATAGCAGAAGAAGCAGTTCCATGAAAAGTCATTGACCAAACGCCAAGCCAAGGCACTCTTGTAATTACGACGTGGAAAATATCAAGGGAGCTTAAGCACAGCTCTTCTTCATTACTTACGGATTTTGGTTGTCTCTCATTCTGGAGATTAATTAAACCAACTTAATTAAGAAAATATTGTTTTAGACTCGTAAAAATCTAACATTCGTATTCTTAAGAATCCTCCCTCTTGCTGCAACTAGTGTCTTATTACTATACTAGGTTAGGTTGGCTATGTAAATGTAATTAAGTTAAAGTTGGTTTGGGAGCAATGTGCTTGGCAATGCATTACTCAAATCCGTGACTTTATATTATTGGAGTCTGTGGCATGAGATCTGCTTTATATTATTGGACTTTATGGCATGGGAATGTGCTATTGTAGTTGTCGACATGGGGTAGGCTCACTAGACCACAGTCTTCATGTTAATAGAGATCATTGGGATCCCAATTTATGGTGAGTGCAACCCTAGTTGGTGAAAAATCTCCTTTATGTTGGATTTGATGAGGTGGGTGGGGTAAAGTGAAAAGGTGAGAGTTTTGGTTTTGAATTCTATATATTTGCTATACCAAATTCATATCAGTTTTCAATCCAGAGACTGCATGCGTGATGATGTTAAGATGGACCACCTCAATTCACATTGAAAAAGGGTCAGAGTCAAGTCTGCATCATGGCCCACCTCAATTCACTTTGGAAAGGCCAAGACTGAAACTCGTAAGAATCTTAAGCTTGTCATTTTATTGTAAACAATAATATCTTTGGTTGGGGTTTCCAAAATAGGAAAGTTTTAGGATTCTAATGTAAAGATGCTATTCCTTTTTTGGATTAATTGTGGAGGGCGTGGGCGTGGGTATGTATCTGCACACTTTTGTATCAGACAAATTTAATGTGTTTTCTACTGTCTAGTTTAGAATAACTCCAACCTATGTTGAAAAATATCAGACATGGAGGGTAATGGGGAAGCAAAGAGAGAGGGGTGGTAAGTCAAAAAGCTAGTGGGAATTTTTGTACAAAGGAAAAAAGGGTTTATAATATATAGACGTGAGGTGATGAATCAATGAGATGAGAGTGAGATACTTTATTTTACTTTATAGTAGAAGTAGCAGATCCATGAAAAGTCATTGGCCAAAAGCTAAGCCAAGGCACTCTTGTAATTACAACGTGGAAAATATCAAGGGAGCTTGAGCACAGCTCTTCTTCATTACTTACGGCTTTTGGTTATCTCTCATTCTGGAGATCAATTAAACCAACTTAATTAAGAAAATATTGTTTTAGACTCGTAAAAATCTAAAATTCATATTCTTAAGAATCCTTCCTCTTGCTGCAACTAGTGTCTTATTACTATACTAGGTTAGGTTGGCTTCGAATTAATGAAAATCCATCTATCTGGAGAAGAGTTGCTCTAGTGCTGACAGATTGGCTAAGATAGAAGCCTGTCGCCATTTGATGAGGTGTCAACAACCATTAGGGACGACATTTATTAGGTAGAAGAGCTGAATATATCAAGTCTGGTCCTGTACTCTATGGTTTCAATTTATTGCAGCATGTATAAGATTTTACACATAAAAGAAATTGCAGGAAAAGTAGAGAAAATAATAGTACAACCCTAGTTGGTGAAATTGCAGGGAATCAAATGCTTTTACTTCAGAAGAATCAAAGAGAGTGGGGTGGAGGATTGGTGGGTCTTTCAAATAACACGGATGGAACCACCTCAATTAACATTGAAAAAGGGTCAGAGTCAAGTCTGCATCGTGGACCACCACCTCAATTCACTTTGGAAAAGCCAAGACTGAAACTTGTAAGAATCTTAAGCTTGTCATTTCATCATCGACTAGGACTAGACAGGCAAGGAGAAGCGACACAGAGGTCAATTCTTCTGCAACCTAACCCCATATTTGCGTAGTCTGTAAAGGTATATAATGAGTTAGCTAAAGTAGAATGGTGAGTTTTGGATTGTATTCCGAAATAGGAAATGGAGGGTAATGGGGAAGCAAAGAGAGTGGGGTGGTGGGTCTTTCTTTGTTTTGCATTTACTGCAAAAGAATCAAACTGTTGTTTTTTTTTTTTTTTTTTTTGTTTTGTTGAGGTACATCAATAATTGGGGAGGGGGAATGACCCTAATGTTTACAAGGTGCCTGTAGGGGAAGTTCGAACCCTGGACCTTGGGGGCCAATCTCCTACTCACTGCCACCATGGTAGCGGGGACGCCACTGGCAATTGATGTTTGATATTAATTTTCTAAAAATTGCCATGGGTATTAATTGCACAAATAATATCGAATCATGCTGAGTAGTTGGAGCAACTTCAATGATGAGTGTGAGTATAACTTTTTAAAAACCAACCGTTAGATGAGCAAAGGTGGTTTTAGTGCATGGGCGTTGACGAGTGAATATTAATTTTGAGTTATTAAAAATCATGACATATGAGCTATAACCTAGGTTAGCATGCGTATAGGTCTGTCCCTGTATAAGATTGAGACGGAAAAAAACTTCGTGTAACAACGTGTGAATTCTATGAATACCACGTCATCGTTTAATAGAAAACTTAATAGTCAAACTACGAAAATTGTAGTAAAATCAAAATTTAGGGATGAGACTATATGAGATATATTTGTACATCATCAACAACTTATATGAAACCTACAAACTTCTGACAATCATCATTTCTAGAGATACAGTGTATACAAAAAACATATGCTTGTTACTGAGATCAAGGGAATAAATAAATGACTATAAAATAATATATATATATATATATATCTAATGGAACTCCATGATGATGAAATATATCAAATTTGCTCAAATTCAAATTGCCAAGTTAGTATACATTTTGAAATTGCCAAATTAAAATGTACATTTTGAAATCATGAAAAGCCATACGTTTTTTGTGAGAGTCAATGATGCATCGTGTAATTTGGTATCTTGGTTGGTGGTGGTGGTGGGTTGTGTGCCCTTGGAGATTATGCAGACCCTTTCACACTGAACTTCATCAAATTAAAAATAAATTTAAGAAAAGGAGATTGGGATTGTTACTGGCAATTCATAGACAGAGTCAACGGTCCCCATGTCAGGCTGAGGCATGGGACTGTAACGTATCCGAATTGATGGATATGTTAGGTGAATCGTACAATACTATATACACTATGATGATGCTACCAGGAAAATAAAAACATTATGGTATGATGTGATGAGGACCAACGAAACAGCAACGGCCATGTGGCTCAATTATTATTGTTATTATGTTAGTCTAAATTGTTGAGCTGGTAGTGGATTGGTTAAGTTGACTAGAGCAGATGTGTTTTCTACTCAAAATTCGATTTCGAATTCCCCTCCTTGTAATTTAGATTAAATTAAAGTATAATATCGTTCGTATAAAAAAAATTGTAAAAATGCTTTCTGGGCCAAAAAAGAAATAATACAAAAATTGTGAACATGTATTGACTCAGCTACTCACAATCAAATTAATGAAGTGATTTACGATTGATTTTATGTGAACATTGGAAGCCAGAGTAGTGTTTCCACCGTTGACAAGGGATTGGAAGATCTAGCTTGATGGAAAAATAATAAGGAGCAAAACTTATAGTGGCATGCCGTGCATGTATTGTTGTTATCATGGTGATACTAATTTGGCAATTTCTAGCTTGATGAAAAAAAAGAAGAAGATAACATCTTACCTAGCCATTTCAATACATATCTGTCTTCATGTAATGTTTACATTTTTTAAAAAGAGAATGGGAAAAATACAAGGAGAAGCCTCTAGGGTATCTTATAAAGGAAAAAATAATCCCAAACAAGCATGAAAAGCATCTGATGGGAGAGAATATATCCGAACATGTGTTTCCTATGCCATGGCCTTGAACCACCATTGCATCTGCTATAAAATTAGCTTCTCAAATAACATGATTAAAGAAAATATATACTCAAAGGAGCATGCCAATCTTAGAATGTTCTTATGATAGTGTGAAGGCATAAAAAAATTCAGACTTGGCGTTTATGGCATCAATTAGTGTCTGGAAATCACCTTCAACTTCTAGTCTTGTCTTCTGTCTGCTGGCAACAAAGGATAAACAATCTTAGCAACAAGCACACAAGTGTCTACAGTATTTCGAGCTCATGAAAAGAGAGGGTTCCCTGACTAGATTTGAGCCCCAAACCATCAAAGTTGAGCTTATAGCAAGTGGGGAAAGGTGGTTTCCATTTACCGAGGGGATGCTCCTGTCTAGCATGGCGAGTCCCTTGGCCAATGGCTCTATAAAATGCCACACCAACATGTCTCGCAGTATGTATGACTTTGATGAGCGGGTGGAGTTGGAGTTGCTTGAAAATCCATTTATTTCTGCATATCCCACAGTTGTAACAGATAATCAGTACTTGAATTATGGTTGAAAGGTATTAGCCAAACTTCGAAACATGGAAGCCTAGAATCCAAGCTAGCAAATCATTAGAAGGGTTTGGTCTCAAATTAGGAGGGCATGGTTCCATCCTTGAGAAGAAGGAAAAAGGCTGTTGTTTATACCGAAGTCAACCGATCTCATTCGCTAATGGACACGACACTGAAAACCACACATGGCAAAGGCTTAACCATCAGAGCATTTCCAGCAAGCAGGCTGGGGGGGGGCTGGGGGAAAATCTTGTTTCCAGCAACACAAAGCTGCCAGGGCAAGGTGTGGGCCCCAGCAAAAAAAATTTGCTTGGGCTAGCCCTCGGGGAGGTCCAGCCCGAGACGACGTCAGCGCAGCTGTTTAAATTTTTTTGACGTTGGCGCGTGCAACGCACGCGCCAACCTTAAAAAAAATTGACGCGCCCGCTACAGTGCCCCGCCAACGGATCTATTCCACGTGGCGCGCACTGAAGCTGTCCGATCACCTTTATTCAAAATCCGACGCTTCTCATTTTTCGTGAATAAAAAAATGAAAAAAAAAATCGGAAGTTGCACCCAACGGCTCTCTTCCACGTGGCGATGCTCTGGGCGCTCCGATGAAGTTCTTCCAGCAATTCAACGGCAGCTGTTCAGTCTGGCCAAAAAATAATGAAAAAAAATGAAAAAAAAAGGAAAAAATTTGAAAAAATACCCAAAAAAATACTGATGTTTTTTCCTATAAATACCAACAAATACTCTTCACTTTTAACACCACCTCTTCATACATTTTCTTCTCATTCTACCATTATTCACTTTCTAGTCTAAATTTTTTTCACTTTGAAGTTGAATTTTTCTAGAAAAATTTATGGGTTCTTCTAGTGAAACCGGAGGGGCATGGAGTGTCATGGAAGATGTTAGCTTGTGTGAGTCTTGGCTCCACATTAGTCATTGTCCCGTAACGGGCAATGAGATGAAATTCTGTCATATGTGGAAAAAAATTCATCAGGATTTTTGTGAAAGGGTAATTGGTACGACCCGTACAGATCAAGCACTATCTAGTAGGTGGAAAATTCTTAACAAAGAGTTGGCGAAATGGAGGGATGCCTTGGCAAAGGCGATGGACAACCATAGAAGCGGGGAAAACCTTACCAATGAGGTAAATTATTTGTAATTTTTGTTTTATTAATTTCTATGTCATATTAAAGTTAATTTAAATATTTCTTGCAATTTATATATTTTGTTAATATTTCTTGTATTTCCAATATTAATATGAATGTTTGTTGCAATATTTAAATTGTGTTTTTCATTTCTAATAAATTGTTAAGGTTTCTTGTATTTCCATTATTTTTTTTTATACTTGTTGAATTGCCAATAATTTTTAAAGTTTCTTGCATTCCCATTTTTTTTTATAGACTATACAAGCACAAATGTTTTTTGGTGCTACTGGGCAAGGAAAAAAAGCTTCAACCATACCCATTGTTGGGAGGTGGTGAAGAATTGTAAGAAATTCCAAATTATTCCAACGGGTCCGACGGTAGTCTTGAACGAGACGCCACTCCATGAGACACCGGCATCGGATTCACCTATGGATTCCCCGATGAGTCAAGACTCACCTATCGAAAAGGAGCCGAGGCCTATTGGGAGGAAGGCGGCGAAGGCGAAGAGAGGGAGTAATTCTACCAAGTCATCATCTAAATTTTTGGAGGAACTTTCAAGGATGCAAGCCATGAGAATTGAAATGGACATGAAACAACAAGAGCACGATAGGGCAATTGATGTAGAAAATGCAAAAGAAAGGGAGTATGTACGCCAACAAAGGGAGTATGCACGCCAAGAAAGGGAGTATGCACGGCAAGAAAAGATTGAAAATAAGGATCGGGAAACAATGGCCATGGATACAACCCATATGTCCCCTGAAACAAAACAATATTGGAAGCTAGAACGAAGGGATGTTATGAGACGAAGACTTTTTCGTGACGATGGACCTAGCAACACGGATTGGTTAAATGATCAAAACAATTAAGTTAGTTTGCTTGCCTTTCATTTCATTGTACCATTAAATTAGTTTGTTTGCCTTTCATTTCATTGTACCATTAAATTAGTTTGCTTGCCTTTCATTTCATTGTAATTTTTTTTTATTTAAAAAATTAGTGGTAATTCATGTATTTTATTTTATGAGTTGTATTGATTTTCTTGTAGTGAATGAAGAAAATATTCAACAAAATTCCTTTTTATTCAAAACATTCCATACATAAAAAGCAAACCACAACCAAAACATAAAAAATAAACAAACCACAACCAAAGCATAAAAAATAAACAAACCACAACCAAAGCATAAAAAATAAACAAACCACAACCAAAGCATAAAAAATAAACAAACCACAACCAAAGCATGAAAAAAACAACAAAGCATAACTAAAAATACAACATAAACATAATGCACTAAAATAACTTCTTCACTTGGCTTCATTGACCTTCATTGCCTTTCACCGCCCACAAATGCTCCATCAAATCAACTTGACGGTGTTCATGAATATACGACGATTGCATCTCCGTGTAGCGCTCAATCATACGATGCATGAAAGTACCGTCTCTAACTAACGGATCATGCTGCACTGGTTCTCCATTTGGCCCCATAGGTTTTTCATAAATTCGTGTTAAGGTCGTGTTCATGGGATCTGGCTCATACACTTCATCAACATCATAATCATACTCATCTTCCACAATCATGTTGTGGAGGATGATACAAGTCATCATTATACTTCTGAGCACCTCCTCGTCAAATAGACGCGCCGCGCCCCTGATAATAGCCCACCGAGCTTGAAGGATACCAAAGCACCTCTCCACATCTTTTCTGTACCCCTCTTGATAGGCAGCAAAAAAATTTCCTTCTCGGATCGGGGATGTGGAATTGATTTCACAAATGTTGTCCATCTCGGGTAGATACCATCAGCTAGATAATACCCGTTCTGATACACGGTATTATTGACTTGATATGTGATATTTGGGCATTCACCTCTCAAAATATCATTGAAAACCGGGGATTGACCCAGGATGTTCAAATCATTTTGAGAGCCGGCAACTCCAAAGAAGGCGTGCCAAACCCAGGTATCAAAACCAGCAACTGCTTCGAGGATGATGCTTTTCTGCCCTTTCCGATTACCATAATCTCCTTGCCAAGCAGATGGACAATTTTTCCATTGCCAGTGCATGCAGTCAATGCTACCAATCATTCCAGGAAATCCACAAGACTCAGCTTTTTGTAGAAGCTGTTGCAGGTCCCTGGGTGTAGGTCTGCGCAGGTAGTCCATGGTGTACAGATTTTCCACTGCATCACAAAATCGCACCAAGCTCTCCAAAATAGTGGACTTCCCCATCCGGGCAATCTCATCCACCTGATTAGCAGATGACCCATACGCAAACATTCGTATCACAGCTGTGAACTTTTGCTTGGGAAGCAGCCCCAAATCTCCAGCACAATTTTTCTTTTGAACAAAGTAGTCATCATAATTGCAAATATCATGCATGACTTTATTAAACAAATGGGGTTGCATTCTATATCTTGCTCGAAAATGAACATCAGAGTACAGAGATTGTGGGATAAAATAATCTTCCAGAAGATTCTTACCCTGAGAATGTCTATGTCTGTCCACATTCGATGCCCGGCCTTCTCGTGAACCACGACGGCTCTAGTTTTCTTCCTCCATCAAAGCAACGGCCACACCAAGTTGCTCATCTAGTTCTCTCTGCGCCCTTTTGCTTGCAGCTCTTCTGCGCATTCTTGCTCGCCTTTCTCGCTCTTGCCTATCCAAAACATCTTCCATGTCTGACATTGAGAATGGAGAATGAAATCTAAAATCTGAGAAATGAAATCTAAAATATGAGAAATGAAGATGCAGAGAAGATATGGTGTGGGAGGTATGAGCTGAGCCTCTGGTTTTATAGAAAAATTTAGACAGATAGAGATGACACGTGGCGCAATTTTAGAGGATGAAAATCTTATCTGAAATTTGGAATTGGTAATTTATCTGGAATTTGAATTTCGAAATGTATCTGAAATTCAAAATTTGAATTTATCTCAAATTTGAATTTTGAAATGTATCTGAAATTTGAAATTTATCTGAAATTTGAAACCGAAAATCTTATCCGATATGAATAGTATTGACACGTAGGAACCCAAAAATCTTATCCGAAAATATTATCCAAATTAATTGTTTAAATAAACAAAGTTGTGAAAAAAAACAAAAAAATGAATAGTATTTGCCATGCAAGGGGCTAACTGCTGGAAACACACATTTGCTGGGGGGAGCTAGGGCAGCCACTATTCACGTAAATAGTAACTGCCCTAGGGCTCCCCTTGCCATGGCAAGGGGCTAACTGGTGGAAGTGCTCTCATAATCGTCCGAAGTGTTAAGATGAAGAGAAGAACAAAGAAATTAATAACAAGAAGATGAAGCAGAGAGACAATCTTAGGAGAAGAATTAGGTTTTCTGTATTTCGTTCATCGCTACAGACTACAGTAGCCTTAGCTAATATTTCACTTCTATGACTATCCTAACTGCCTTGTAACAATACTTAACGGCTCACTAACAAACTTCAAGGCCGGCCCGGAGATTTTTAAGGCCCATGTCAATGTTGAAAATAGACCCTATGTATGTATAGCTCCACACAAGAAAGATCATTTGATTTTATTTTTACGTGTGTGTATATGAAACCTTTTATAACCATATAAATTTTTTTAGGGCTCCAACAAAGTGTCATTTAATTTTTGTATATAAGAAATGATTGAAGCTCCCATGTATCTATTGCTCAACACACAAGAAAAATAATTTGATTTTATTTTCGTGTGTGTATAGAATATTAAAAAATAGAACTTTTATAACCATAGAAAAAAGTTTAGGCCTCTGACAAAATGTTATTTATTTTTTGTATATAAGAAACGATTGAAGACAAAAAAAAAAGTACTAAAAAGAACCATGCACTCGCATAAAAAAGAGGCACAATGATATAACTAGTTACCAAAATATGACCACATAAAAAAATTAAAAAAATTTGGGGCCCTCCCTTGAGCCGAGGCCCAGGGCGGTCACACTAACTAACCTGGCTCAAGGCCGGGGCTGACAAGCTTAACAGCTCACTGACAATATTCTAATAACTCACTCCTTAATCTGCTGACACTTAGCACTATCATCAAGGATACTCTTGCCCGAAGATTGTCCTTTTGACTGCAATATCCACGCAAGCCCTCAACCAGGATTGTTGATGGAAGACCCTACTGATTGGCGAGGCACAATCTGCCATCGTTGAACGACAATAAGGACCATCAAAAATCGAATGTGCTTCTCAACCACTAGGCATCCTGCTTGCCGAAGAAGGATCTGAACAAGGTTGTCATGTCAGCTTTAGGACACGTGTCATCACCACAACGATTGACATGAAATCCCACATTGAAGAAAATGTGCAAATATCCCCTGCCCATTTGTCTATACACTATTCCCAAAATGGAAGATAATTAATCAATGCTAGTCATTACTCAGTCAAAATCATTTCAGACTTCACATTTAGTTAACTTAGCATCGGAGAGTCTTCAGTCGGTACCAGATCGGTGCCAATATTTCACCAATCATCTTCCTCATAGGTCATCCTACGCTTGCCGAAGGCTGCATAAGGCAAAGTTTTTGAAGATCAGCTCCCTTTAGAGTTGCATCCAATTTTGGATATCAACAACAATTTATGAAGAGGGTTGAAAGATTCAGTTTTTGTCTCGCATAAAGCACACATTAGATTTGCATGGGGTAAGAAGACACTTTAGTATGTTCTAGTGTTTAAATGATGTTTCACATAAAGCACACATTAGATTTGCATGGGGATTATTTGAGCTGGTGATTACTTTCACTTGTAAGAATCCTCTTGACTTAGTGGATCGTCTAGTTGGAGGAATAACCTCTAGCTTTTTCCAATGATGGGTTTTTCAGTGAACATTTCTTGTGTGTTGATCTGATTAATATGACTAGTCATACTATATATGTTATCTCTGTAATGTTGATGAATCTTCACACACCTCTCACTTTAGTTGTTGCTAGCACAGGAGATGCCTAGATTGACAGGTCCTTTTGAGTGCCTAGATTGACAGGACCTCTCACTTTAATCATCTTCTAAGTTTGCATGGATTTGAATATTGATTGATAAGTGAATGTGTCTCTTCTGTTATGTGCTCTTAGATCTATGACTAGTTGTTGACTAGCCATATATTTTCTAGGATTACTTTGTTGATACGTCTAATCTGTGGTTTATCTGATTAGCATTTAAATTTACCCCTTCCATCTAATTACTAATTTTATTTTGACTTTGGGTGGGATTTGGAGTTGAGTTACGCTACACTTACCACATTTTTATTCCACATTTCTATACCACATGATGTGGCAAGTCCATATTATATGCCACATCAATTAAATCAATGAAGTGTATTTTAATTAAGACAATTAGAAAAACAAATACTGGAATAAATCATAAAAGAAAAGAAAATATTAAATAATTTTAATTGATGTGGTTGTCCATCTCAGTTGCCACATAAGACGGTATAGGGATGTGGTATACAAATGTGATAAGAGTAGCATTATTCTTTGAAGTTTCCAAATTTTTTAGAGCGAATGTTGTAAGGATAGGACAGCCGAAAAAATTCAACTATATTCTAATGCAAATGATATTGAAATGTGGAACCTGAAGAATTGTAAACTAGTGTCATGGGTTAAGTGACACTACAAAAAAAAGGGTCATTACCGACCAACATTCTCCGAGGGCCCTGAAATTTCCTCGGTAAAAGTGTTTTTTCCGACCAAAAAATATTGTCCGTTGGAAATATGTCACGAGCCTGAAATTTATTTCCGACAAAGGAAATACCCTCGGAAAAAGTCTCAATTGTCGTCGGAAATGTAATTTATTTGGTGGGAAGACTTGGCGCCAACTTTATTAACGACCAAAAGTATGTTTGACGGAAATAGGATGATTATTTCCGAGGGCTTTCTCTTTCCGTCGGAACTGTTTGACTATTTCCGAGGGGCTTCTTATTCCGTCGAAATTGCTTGAACATTTCCGAGGGGTTCTCCTTTCGTCTGAATTGTTTGACTACTTTCGAGGAGAAATATGTCCTCTCGGAAAAACGTTTGAATGTCAATTTCCCATTTAGAATAAATTAAAAAAAATTTGATTGATGATATTGTTAGCTAGGGAAGAAAACAGATTTTTTTCAAGAGAAGTTGGTTATCATGTAGACCCAACAAACCCAATGCCAATATATATGGTAGTTGGTGGGGGCTGTGTTCCATGGGGGGTTGGTACAGTTTCATTCGCAAGTCTCTACACAAAACAAAACAAAGGCATTATCTGCATATGAAATGAAACCCAAATTAAAAATCAAAATGATATGAAAATTATAATTTGATGCACAAACCAAAGCTCTCTGTAGTGATATGCAGTTCTTATTTGAACCTATCAACTTTTTGGCCCCTCCCCCACAAAAAAGAAGAGCCTCGCTAGCTGTGAATTTCCCATTAGAATAAGTATAAAAAAAATTTGATTGATAATAACCAATCACACTCCAAAATAAATAACTAAAAATAGCCAATCCAAAAAAAAATAAGCAATCACAATTACATGACAACTCATCCCATAGTTGTAAGTTGAACACATCGATCCCTTCTTCAATCAATTTCATTGTCTTCAACATCATTTTGGATGGCATGCATGCTTTGAATTTGAGTCTCTGCTTCTTGGTATGGCTCAATCTCATCATTAGTCGTCTCATAAGCATTTCTTGGATTTGTTTCCACGACAAAACTCCAAATTTTATTTCTAACCCCCTTCACATAAAAAACTTGGGTTGCTTGGCTTGCTAGTACGAATGGCTCTTGAGTATTTAGCTTGCGTGTTGTATTAACAGTGATTATTCCATAACGATCTATCTTGTAACCTGTTCCTTTTCGTGCCATGTCATACCAATCACAATTGAACAATACAACTCTATTTCCTTCTGTGTAACGGAGTTCAACAATATCTACTAAGGTTCCATACCAAGGCACATCGTCAATCTGATTCTCCCCCTTAACCATAACTCCACTATTTTGTGTTTTTTTATTCTCATCACGCTGCAATGTATGAAATCTAAAACCACTAATATAATAACCAGGATAATAAGTTACTCGCCTTTCAGGACCTCGAGCCAAAGAAAGCATTTGCTTACTAACTTTACCATCGTTGTATAGTTCTGTGACCTGCATAGAAAGGAAAAAATATTTTTAAATAAACATCTATGACATTCAATAATTTTTTGAATACAATATTATCCATACCCTTTTAGAAATCCAGTTTGAAAATTGAAGCCTATGTGACTCCTCCACATTATCAACACTAGACTGGATTAGAACGTTCTTATGTTCTCTGCATACATAACAAATGATTATATTCAAATTAATACAGTGACATATTACATCTAAATAAATAGTAACTTATTAAATACACTTAGAAATTATAGTATTTAAGAATTCTTACTGGACAAATGGAAAAGCTTCATCACAATTTTGCAGGACATAATGAGTGGCAGCCTTATGAAGTTCGATGCTCATCTCTCTAAGTACACCTTTCCCAAAAGCTCGACCAGGTGTTGAGAAAATAGATAACGGAGATGCATCATATGACGGTTGACCTCCATCGTCATTTCTATCTCTTTTATTAAACTTAGTTTCAACTCGATGCAAATAGCGAGAGCAAAATATTAAACACTCATCTCCCAAGACACCTTCGGCAATAGACCCTTCTGGATGAGCCTTATTACGAACATAAGTCTTTAGCTTATGCAAATACCTAATTACGTCATAAATACCAAAATTAGAGAATCATACATCAGCAGTTAAACAAATCATGAATAAAATTAATATCTAAACATTGAGATTACCTTTCCACAGGATACATCCACCTGAATTGTACTGGACCGGCCACTTTTGCCTCCCATGCCAAGTGGCAAGTTAGGTGAATCATGATGTCAAAAAAAGCAGGAGGGAATATTTTTTCCAACTTGCATAGAGTTATGGCAATTTGTTTGTCAAGAAGATTCAAGTCATCTTCTCTTAAAACTTTAGCACACAATTCCTTGAAAAAGTACGATAATTCAATTAAAGGCTCACTTACATCTTTGGGCAATAAATCTCGCGCCACAAACGGAAGTAATCTCTCTAAGAACACATGACAATCATGAGTTTTCATACCAGAAATATTACGCTCTGAAGTATTCACACATCGAGATAAATTTCCAGAGTACCCATCTGGAACTTTCAACTCCATTAACCATTGACATAAAGCTTTGTTATCATCATTTGACAATGTATAATCGCCTGGGATAAAATAGAGCTTACCATTATCTCCTTCTTCTGGATGATACCTGTGTCTTATACCCATTTCTTGAAGATCAAGACGAGCATTTAAAGAATCTTTTGTTTTACCATCAATGCTCATCATTGTGCCAATCACATTCTCAAATACATTTTTCTCAATGTGCATGACATCTAAATTGTGACGCACCAAAAGTGTTTTCCAGTAAGGCAATTGGAAAAATATTGAATGTTTTTTCCAATTATGATCTTTTCCAAACCCAAGTATTGTATGCTTTTTCCCATCCTTGCCATATGTTATTTCTCTTAATTCACCAAGTTCATTTATCACATCATCACCAGATGGTCTCTTGGGTGCAAGTCTTATTTCCCTTGTATTATCAAATTGGCTTCGTTGATTACGCCATACGTGGTCAGACGGTAAAAATCTTCTATGACCCAAATAACATGTTTTAGACCCATGAGATAACCGACGATGCGAAGTATCAGATGCACAATATGGGCATGCCAATTTACCAGACGTACTCCAACCTGACATGTATGCATATGCTGGATAATCATTGATAGTCCAAAGAAGTGCAGCTCTCATCTGAAAATTTTGCTTTGCATATATATCATACGTTTCAACACCAATTTCCCACAATGTTCGCAATTCGTCTATCAATGGCCTCATGTATACATCAATGTCATGGCATGGACCCTTAGGTCCAGGAATAAGTAAAGTCATGAAAACATAAGGCTCCTTCATGCACATCCACGGAGGAAGATTATATGGGTATATAAGAACTGGCCAAATACTATAATGCAAATTCATGTTCCCAAAAGGGTTAAATCCATCTGTTGCCAAACCAAGTCTTACATTTCGAGGTTCCATACCAAATGACTCATGAATTTGATTAAACGATTTCCAAGCCTCAGAATCTGCTGGATGCCTCAACACTCCATCTTTTACACGATCCTTAAAATGCCATCTCATATCTACAGCTGTCTTGGATGACATGAATAATCTTTGAAGTCTTGGTGTGAGTGGAAAATATCTAAGCACCTTCCATGGAACCCTTTTACCTTTCTTTTTGCTACCCTTTCCTTGTTTCTTCCATCTCGAAAGCTTACATGTAGGACACTGCGTTGCATTTGCATGCTCCTTATAATAAATGATGCAATCATTATTGCATGCATCTATCTTATCATAATGAAGACCTAAATCTGAAATAATTTTCTTTGCACCGTTAGTGGTTGTAGGTAACTTCTCACAAAAAGGAAATGCATTTTTCAACAATGTTAGCAACATACCAAATGCTTTATTGCTCATAGTACCAATACCCTTGATATGCATAAGGTTCACAACAAAAGACAAATTAGAATATGATTCACAACCAGCGTACAATGGCTGTTCTGCCTCTTCTAACAATTTGTAAAACTTGTGCGCATCTCCATTTGGATCTTGTGGACAACCTTCTTCAATTAAACCATGCATATCATCGTCTTGCTCCATACTGGCCACATCATGTCCATCATTGTCACTATCACTTTCATCACTTTCATCACTATCATCACTTTCATCAATATCCTCATCCTCACCCTCACCGTGCAAATACCATGTAGTATAAGTTAGTTTAATTCCATTATAAAGAAGATGCTTGTGTACCTCATACCTCAGATGTCTATATCGATTACTGCATTTAGAGCAAGGACAGAAGATCTTAGAATCATCCGGCTTAACATGGTTGTATGCATAATTGAGAAAACTTTCAACTCCTACAAAATAATCTTCTGACGACCTCCCAGATTGCATCCAAGATTTATCAACAGGCATTTCTCTACATAAATAAGATCCAATTAATATTAATAGAACAAACGACCAAAAATCCAGATATTAAACCTTTATCATTTTCATATTTGAAACATCACCCAAAAGTTTGACTAGCATTTCTCTGCATGCCATATATTCTTTTAACAAGCTAGGGAAAAAAACAGATTTTTTTAAAGAGAATTTGGTTATCAGGTAGACCCAACAAGAAAGAAAGAACCAAACCAACGTGCCATGCATCCACCATTCGCATAAAATTAAAGGAATCCAAAACAAAATTATGCTTGTATTGCAAACCAAAGTAGCTAACATTTTTAAACATGACATATTATGTAATTCTCTAAAACATCACCCAAAAGTCTCAGCAGCAGCAGAGACACAGATAAATACCACAACAAAATAGACTAACAAAACAGAGTCTTAGATTTTCAAAGCAATAAATTAAATCACTGTCAGAGATCATAGTTTTGTACCAAGCTTTTCCTGCGGCCTTGATAGTAGAAGCCAATTAGAATATAAATTATTCTTCCAAATGCAGAAAGTAGAGGAGCTGAAAACTCAGATTATCCAATTAGAAAGAGACAAAGGAAGACCCAACACATACTTCTACTCATAACACCTGCAAGGAAACCATCTGCAAGAATAAATTCAATCAGATACAATCTAAAGGATAAAATACCACAAGAAAGCAACTTAAAGTGATAGCAAATTTGACATTTACCTATATTCTCACAGCGCTCCAAAAATTCATTGAACTCTTCCATAAGATCTGGATACTTTCCCAACAAATCGGTCACCTGAGACAGGCAGAGTTTCCAAAAAATGTCAAACTAGAGGCAATAGCATCAAGTAGTCAATATTTTATCTCATTACATTTTTATAGAAAGATATAAAGCATGGTCATCATAAAGTGTCCTTTGTCCAGTATCCCCTAGCTCAAAGAGTAAGCAGACAAAGCTTGACTTTAGAAGCGTCGGTTAACTGCTGAAAATGGTGTAAGACGTACCAAATTCTGTAGATCATTCCTTTTAATTATTCCATTGCTATAAATGTGAAGGCATTTCAAAAATGCTTGGTAGTCTTCTTGACTGTACACATCTAGAACAATAAAAGGAAGGAAAACAGAAAACAAACAGGACCATGTGTTCTTGATCTAGTCATACATATTTCTCTTCCTAATGTTATAGAAGATGTCCTGTAAAAAGTTAAAAACCACCCAAAACATACTAGAATATGAAGGCAAATGATTTCTGAGTTAAATTTGGTTTTCTTTGACTGCAAACCAGTAAATTGGGTGTCCTTTTGTTAGTTGCCCTTAGTCATTTGTGTACACATCTAGAACAATAAAAGGAAGGAAAACAGAAAACAAACAGGATCATGTGTTCTTGATCTAGTCATACATATTTCTCTTCCTAATGTTATAGAAGATGTCCTAATTTCAAATCCTCTTCCCCATTAATTAAAAAACATTAATACTTTTATGCTCATATAATACTTCTTCATTGAAATACACAGCAGCAAATAACACAGAGGCAAAACCAGTCAGATGATGGACAAATTTTTTATTTCTTCTTTGGTGGCCAACAAGCCAATTCATAAATAAAGAGTAAAAATCTGTAGCCAGAAAGTGCAGAAAACAATAATTTCACACCATATAATCTATTCTTTATTGGAACGACACATATTAAAAAACAAGGATAGGTTGAGACTATACCTTTATTGGAGCAAACCAGGTTAGAGAAAGTGTAACTAGGGACCTTGGAATGAATTTGCTCAGGTCAGAATCAACAAAATCATACAGAAGCGAAATTCAGTTCAATGGACTAGATTCCCCAGAATTCATACATAGAGATACTAGAAGGATCTTCTTAGAGAGACTAAGAAGTGCTTCGAAAAGAGAAACAGATCTTGGTGTTCCTGTATTAGTTTCTGGAAGCTCTAGTTTATCTGCATTTGACAATGATAGGGTCAGACTAAAACAAGTGGGAGATACTCTGGAAGCTCAAAAAGACATGAGTTGCTGGGAAAGGGGAATAGTGAAATATGAACATGAAAAAACAAGATCATTCAGACATGGACCACATGATAATGAGGTGCTTGATAGAGAGTTGTCCCCTAGAAACCTCATAAGGTCTTTATCAGCCCCAGTACCCGGAACATCTTTTGGGAAACTTCTTCTGGAGGACCGTCATGTTTTAACTGGTGCTCACATCCAGCGGAAGCATGAAGGCATTGACCACATGTCCATGGAGATGAAACATCAGAAGAAAGAAAGGTTTAATTTCTTCTTTGGTGGCCAACAAGCATGAGGCAAAACCAGTCAGATGATGGACAAATTTTTTATTTCTTCTTTGGTGGCCAACAAGCCAATTCATAAATAAAGAGTAAAAATCTGTAGCCAGAAAGTGCAGAAAACAATAATTTCACAACATATAATCTATTCTTTATTGGAACGACACATATTAAAAAACAAGGATAGGTTGAGACTATACCTTTATTGGAGCAAAACGAAGTCTTAGATTGAAAGATGATAGATGGCAAAATCTGAAAACCAAACACACTCTATCAGATTAAAAAAGATGATTAACTTCTGTTTTTTGGGTCGAAATCTAGTTTCAAAATGAAACCAGAAGATATCAGATAACAAAACAGAATGTAGAGATAAAGAATCACTGTGCAGAGAGTAGAATACAAACAGAGCCCAGCCAAACCCATTAGATAAAGAATCATATAACAAAAAGAAAGTACAGATAGATAGATCAAACCCATTAAATTGAATACCCATAAATAATATCAACAAAAAAAATAAAAAAATTGCAACTAGAATGAAAGCTCACCTGCGAAACTTGGATGGCCTGCCTTCTTCTCCCACTCTTGATAGAAAACTGATATAAGGTGTATTTCTTGGCGCGCAACAAAAAAAAATTCCCCTGCTCTTGAGATTTGCAGAATTCCACCAATTATGAGATTTGCAAATCCCGTCTTTATTTCCTTTTGCCAAACACACAGTTACTGTTTTTGCTGATGTTGAAGTTAGGGTAAAAGCTATGGGTAAGTTTTGGGCGTGTTCCCCCCACCCCGCGGCGCGCTTTTCCTTTTTCTTTTTTTTTTTTTTTTTTTTGTTTTTTTTTTTTTTTTTTTTTTTTTTTTAGGTGCTGACTAAATATGGAATAAATTTTGAAAGACAATAACTCGTGTGTGGGCTGATGATAAAGCATGATTGGGTTTCCTCAATCCATAGTTAGAATTTTGTGTTGTTTTCTCTACCTAGTTTGAACGGGTGAAGCAAATTCGTGTATTTTCAAACTTTCAGGGGAGGTCACCAAATCCAAGAAAAATAATTGAATTCCTTTACATGGTGATATGGGAAACAAGACTATTGAATTTGGCCTAAAATGCAATACCATATCGAATTTGGATTCGAATTATCATATTTAACACATCAATGGTTTTTTCAGATTTTCAAATACTCTTGATCACATGTTCTTCCGATTGATAAAGATAACAAATTATCAAATAACATAAAAAAGTTTGATTTCCCTCATCATCATATCGAAAGAATTAAGTGAAATTACTAATGTAAATGAATTTAATTTGGATTACATTGGTCTAATTTGGATTAAGTGAAATTACTAATGTAAACGAATTGGGATTGTATTCGAATTTTGAAATAAAACTCTTTCGTACTATAAGACCATCAATTTTAGCTTGATCCTTCCTTTTGTTTTATCATTGAATATGTAACATAATGGAGTTGAAACGTACAGTCGGGTATAGATAATATGATCAACACTAAAAAATATAGATGTCTTTATCAATCTCAAATAATTTAAGGAATTCAATTATTTAAGTACAAATAATATAGATTTGTCTGTTTCAACACTATTGATTTCATGAATTTGGATTCAATTGGCCTAATTTGAATTTGGATTCAATTGGCCTAATTCGAATTTGGATTGTAAACAAATTGGATTTGGATTACATTGGCCTAAAATGCAATATACCATATCGAATTTGGATTCGAATTATCATATTCAACACATCAATGGTTTTTTTAGATTTTCAACTACTCTTGATCACATGTTTTTCCGATTGATCAACATATTTAAACTTGATCAAGTTTTAAACGGACTCTTTCGTACTATAAGACCATCAATTTTAGCTTGATCCTTCCTTTTTTTTTATCATTAAATATGTAACATAATGGAGTTGAAACGTATAGCCGGGTATAGATAACATGATCAACACTAAAAAATACAAATGTCTTTATCAATCTCAAATAATTTAAGGAATTCAATTATTTAAGTACAAATATTATATGGATTTGTTACAGAAACCGTATATTTGACAAATACTAATATCAAATGTGATCAAGTTTCAAAGCCTTTTGTTTTATTTTATTTAATTAATTAATTAATTAAACAAAATATAAACAAATCAGCAATTAACTCCCGTTGGCCCAAAAAAAGTGGGGGAAAGCCCAAATTAATTATTTGTTTGCCGCTCAAGCCTCTTTTTTAATTTAGGTTTTTTGCTAACCCTAACAGTTATCAGTTTTCAACAGCAGCCACAAAAGAGAAAAAAAAATCTTCCATACGTCTTCTTCAACGTCTTCTCCCTAAACCCTCTTCTCCTCAGCAATATCAAGGAAGCTATTGAGCCATACAGGTAACCTACTACATTTTTGCTAATATCCATGTATTGTTATAGATATAGAAAACTTCAACTCATGCTTCACGTTGTACCGGCTCATGTAGAGGTTGTTATAGATCTTTAGCATCTTTAAAGATTATTATAGATATAGAAAAATGGATATTGATATAGAAAAATGGGTACTGAGTATTAGCATACCTTTAGCAAATTGTTTGAACGGACAGCATGCAATTTCCTCTTAAATTGTTTGAACGGACAGCAATTTCCTCTTTGGAAAGAGGAAATTATCTATGGCAGCCTTTAGCATACCTTTAGCAAATTGTCTTCCAGAAAGATAGAAATCAATACCCATGTATGGTGATACTGACATGGGTTCTCATGGAAATCAGTACCCATCTAGTTTGAACTGCAACTTGCAGTTTTTGGAGAACACAAGCAAGCAATAATAGAACGGCAAGAAGCAAAGGCCAATTAGGACTTCGAATTGGAAATATCCATGTATCTATCTATATCTACTGTAAAATTGCATGCATGTCTTCAATCCCATGCTGGTTGGTTGACAGTCAACATGATACATGTAGATTAAGCCAATAATATTTTCATGCGAATTGAAGCAAGACCTCTCTCTCTCTCTCTCTCTCTCTCTCTCTCTCTCTCAGCAAATTGTTTTCTCTACCTAGTTTTTCCTTTTTGGATGAATTTTTTTTAAGTATTATTTCTGATTTATGTTTTTTTTAAATTATGACATGGGTTCTTTTGTGATTATAAATGGCAGCCATGGCAAAAAAGAAAAAGAGCAATAATAGAGCATCACATGATCGTGAAATGCAAGAGACAAATCAAACATGTATGAGTTATTTGTGTCGTATTATCGATTAAATTCTTGTTTCTATTATTTTTTATAGTTGTATTTCTATTATATGAGTTTTTAATTTTTCAATTATGTTTTGTGTTTGTATTTCTCTTACAAATGTTAGCCGTGGCAAGAAATGGAAAGAGTCAAGATAGAGCATCAGGCACTGCACATCCTCAGTCATCTAGACTCTCCTTAGATCGCCATATTTCCAATGAGTCATCACATGATAACGAAATGCAAGAAACATGTATGATTTATTTTGAATTTTGAATTTTGAATTTTCTTTTGTGTATATATATATATATTTCAATTATATGATTAGTTCTCAATTAATTTCCAATTTTTTGCTCTATATAAATTGTAGCCAGGGCAAGAAAGAGAAAGAATCAGAATAAAGCATCCAACATTACACATCCTCAGTCATCTAGACCTTCCTTAGACCAACATGATGACCCCATTGAGCCATCACATGATAATGAAATGGAAGACATGCCCCTTGAAACCGAACCATCAAATGAAGAAGGTAATTTTTTATTTATATATATATGAGGTTTAAACTGAACCTTCACATGATAATTTTTTTATTATTTTATATATATGATCCTATAGCTAGTTTTTTTTTGTACCTTGTACTTCAAATATATATATATATTTTTTTCTTATTAGGTTCAATTGTTGGAATAAAAAGAGGTAGAGGGAAGGCTAAAGGTAAAGATGGAAATGGCACTCCAATTGTAATACGTAGAGGAAGGTAATGTATAAGGCCTACAAAGTTAGCCATTTCTCGTGTAGATTTATTTTTATTTATTTATTTAAATTTGGTTTAAATTTTTCAGGATTATAACCACTGGAGCTGTGCGAACTATAGGAGTGCTTTTTTATCAGGCTATCGATGGAGCATGGCCAACATTTAAAACATTTCCATCAACTCAAATGGATTTACTGTATGATCGCTTTAACACAACAGGATATACACACACGTGCTCAGAAGAAGAGATGAGGGAGGCATTCGAACAACATATTAAATTGAGATATTCCGATTGGATGTCCGCATTGAGAAATAGCGTTTTTAAGAAATACAAGACTACTGGTGATAGATACACTCATTGCCCATTAGGGATATCTCAAGATGTTTGGTCTAAACTGGTTGATCATTGGTTGCAGCCTACATGGCAGGTAAAAACTCAATTTAAAATAATATTGTTATGACTGGCTAGTGTATGCTTTGTTTTATTTATAGATGCCTTATATGGGTTCACTAAGTTGATATTAGGTTATGATTTACTTTTTTCATGTAGGATAAAAGTAAAAGAAACAAGTCTAATAGGGCGAAATCCACAGTTGTGCATACCACGGGTTCTGTTCCAATGGAAAAGTACAGAAAAGATGAGGTAAAAATATCCATTTGGTTGTTGCTTTTTGTTGACTGTTCCTTTTGTGGTTATTTCCAAATTTGGTCCTAACAAACTTCATTGTTTAAATCTTAATAGCTTGATCGAACTGGAATTGAACCGAGTCCAATTGATTGTTTCAAAAAGTTCCATGTAAGTAAGCCTAAGAATGGAGGAGAAGAAAGTTGGCCAAGTGAAAAGGCTAAAGAACTTTTTGTACGTTGTCCCTACTTTGTTTCTCTTTTTATTTTTCTTTTTAAAATTTTTTATTCACATGAAATTTTTTTTATATCCATGTTTATATTTCAACTATTTCATTGAAGGAAAAAATGGAGAATAAAAAGGTTGCTGCAACGGAAGACGAGAATGAAGTAGATGATTGGGATATATACAAGGAGGTTATTGGTGGGCCAAGTCACGGTCGTATCCTTGGCTTAGGTGGTGGCTATAGTATAAAAGATGTGTATCCCTCGGATGACCAAGGTTGTAATAAACGTATATGCTTAGAACGTGAAGAAGAGCATGAGAAATTAAAGGAGGAAGTGAAGGACTTGAAAAGTGTGCTGTATGAATTGAAAGATCTAGTTCAAAGTATGAGGGAAAACAACTCAAATACTTATGCACGCTCAAGACAATCTGCTTTAATGGTGAACTCTTTTCTTTCTCATTTCAATATTTTGCTCACTGTTAAATATTGTATTTGTTATTTTTATTCTCAAATGATTTATGTCTTATTAATTATTATCTTTTATTCGACAGGACAATGTAGAAAGTTGTTCAGATGCTCACCTCGAAGACGAGTAGTGCAACATCAATTGTATTTTGCTACAATATGTATTTTGAATTTCAAAGTTTTGATATATTTGCGGATTGCATATATGTTTTAAGGATGATGGGGATTGTTTATGTTTTAACTATTTAGAATAATTTTAATTGAATGCATAAAATTTTAGTACAGTATGGTGTCGTATGATTTTTTTATTATTATTACCAATTAAATACGGATGATTAGAAAACTATTTCTAGCAAATATTATAATTCAAATTTCTTTTTATTAATTTTTTTTATAAAATAATTACATTTTTCGACCGCATTTCCCTCTCGGTAATGCATATTTCCAACGAACACTTTATCATCGGAAATAGTTTCCGACAATAATTGCCTATTTCCGACAAAATTCCCCACGACATAATCGGGTCGAAACAATTATATTTCCGACCACTTGTTCGTCGAAAATATTTTCTGACAGGATTAATCTATTTGCGACAAACTTTGCGACGAATAAATATGGTTGGAAATATATATTTCCGACATAACTTGCCCATCGAAAATATATTTTTATACTCTTTTCCGACGAGCTATTATATATTTTCCACAAACTCTTTTGGTCGGTAATGATAATTGCGACGACATCTAGCCCTCACAAATAATATATCATTGTCGGAAAAAGTATTTCTGACGACACTCATTGGTTGAAAATATGAATTCACAAAAACAAGAAATCAAGATAAAAGAACTATTTCCGACAATCAAATAAGTAATTACGACCACATGTACGGTCGGAAATAAATATGTAGGGTCGTTTTAAAAATCCATTTCCGATAGAAATTTATGCAATAGCTACGAAGCATGGACGTCGGAAATACATTATTTCCGACGGAATGGTCGGAAATGAAGTATTTGCAACCGAGCTTTTAGCGACGACTGCCGACGGACTTTTGCCGTCGAAAAAAGATATTTGCGACGGCAAAAGGCCTTTTGCAACGACAAAATGCCCTCGCAAAAGGGCTTCTGTTTTGTAGTGTGATACAATCCCTCGAGTCAAACAGAGAGATAATGTTTACCATTTGTTTGTTTGTAATACAATCTTATTTATCACTCCTCTTTCTCAGCCCAAATGTATGAAATATTATCTTTAATATCTAATCAATTGAAATATTATCTTTCATAATCACCCAACAATTTGATATGCATCTTAAGATGCTAGCTATCAATCACGCTATCTAACCAACTTTTGACTTAGCTATTCGTCATTTTCATAATCAATCGTATAACCACACTCAAACCAAACTCTATTGACTTTAGTTATTGCTCCTTACATTTTGCGCATAAGGAAAGAGTCATCTACACCAATCTGACCACATTACTAATCACATCTTGCACACAAACAAAACTCATATGAAATTTTGCTGATCACTAACTTAATACGTAGTCTTATCAACCTATCAAAATCAAACAAAGCATCTTGATATAAACTAGGTTCTGCCTTTTTCTTTTGGCGAGAAAAAAACCTTAAAGGTCTATAAATACAGAGCCAAGTGCCACATTATGTTCACTCAGCAGAAATCATCTACCCTTCATACATTATTTGTGTTCACCTTGTGTTGATTACCATATGGCATCTTCGAAAACTTTTCTTCTTCTTGGTCTTGTCTTTGCTGTTGTCCTCGTCTCCTCTGAGGTCGTCTCAGCTCGCGAGCTGGTTCCGACTACTGCTCAAACCCGTCAGTTTCTTTCTTTCTCAAATAAATCTTTTGTTTCTTTCATTCTAGCATGGATTCGTAAACTTTTCGAGGCACATTCTATATGTGGTGCAGGATAGATCATCACAATTTGTAATGATACGAATTAATGTATTTATATATGTGACTTGTAAAGAAATGAATGGTTAAGATTCCTTTAGCTAAATGATGTACCTGCGTGGCTTAATTTGCAACTTTTCGACATATATAACGTTTTTCTTTTTATGTTATTTATTTATTTTTTTTTCTTTCAGAGGAAAATGTAGAGAAGGATAACTATGGTGACCATTTTAACTGCCACGAGCATGGACTTTGGGAGCATGGCCATGGCCACGGACATTGGGAGCACGGCCATTGCCACGGACACTGGGAGCATTGTGGCCATGGCTGCCACGGAAAATGGGGACATGGTGCTGCTGAGAGTGAAATAGAGAATTAGATATAACCCTATAATTTGCCTGTGGTAGTATATGTTGCAGGCATGTTATAAGGTTCATAAATAAATCTTTGTTTGCCAATAAAGCAGCATTAATTGGTTGAGTAGATCCATATAACTCCCAATCACAGCTGGTTTTTAGGGTCTGTTGATCATCTTATTATTCTCTGTAATATGTACGCCTTAGATTTGCTACAATGCGCTTTGATTTGCTAAGTTGAAGTTGTGTCAAAAGTGTACTGTTGAACTTTGGAATCTATCCTTGTAAATAAATAAATTTAAAGTTTCTTTTTTAATTACTGTGTTCCATTGAATTGAAGTGCATCAAATACAAGTATATACCATAAACTCTCTATGCGTGGTTCGTGTATAGATAGAGTGATAGAAATTTGTACGAGTGTTCAATTATACTCGGTCCACGTGTCATGTGATGATATGGCTGCTAGTCTATTTGATATGATTAGGGATTGCTTAATAGTTAGTTTGGAGGTTAGTTTTGGCGGCAATGGATGACTTTGCAGAGCTGTCGATGATTTCGTAAAAATATTGTATTCTTGAATTTTAATAGCACAAAGTTCTTGTTCATATATCTTCGAGTCAAGGTTAAGGATAAACTGGGTCCTATCATAGAAACAAAATTGCAAGCCTTCTACTGGATTTCAAATTGGAAAGCCTCTCATCAATCAGACTTCACGGAAGCTCACGGCCCAATACTTCATGCAGCACTGGAGCACTTTCTTGAAGTCCTTGCTAAAGTAGTACGTATAAATAGCTTACTATATAAGTAGCCAAAGGAAGGACGTGCGCACTTTTGTTACAATTATGACATCCTTAACATAAAAAATATTCTATGTGTATATGTATATTTTCTTTTCGAGTTATGTTAGGGATATCAACTTTAGATACCAACTTGTGTATTATTTTTTAATAGATGTGGAGCCTACCAATACAATGGGTCTCACCTCTATTAGAGAGATGGTACACAAATTGGTATTTAAAGTTGGTTTCCCTAACATTTTCTTTTTCTTTTTAAATATATGAGTGCTCAAGCGCTAATTGGTTAGTAAGATAATATGATGCTAATCATTCATTTGGGCTCACTCCACAACGTCATCTGATGATCCAAACCAATCATTTTTTAGTTCAACATTCAAAGATAACCCTTGTAAAAAGTTAGCCAAATTAGACAACATTTTGTCATTTAGGTGTGTGATCAAATAAACACAAACACAATTTTTTTAATAGATAATGAAAATATTCAAGATGATAATAAAATAGTTAAATTATTTCTGATTTGGCTAATTTAAAATGACAGTAAAGTTTGAGAGATTAACTCTAACTTTTTATGGGTGCCAATACTGGTTCCTATATATATAATATAAATATTCTTCTACTCTTTTTTTTTGTTGTTAGGAAAAGATGCTTTATTAAGAGAAGCACCTGTGGGCTCTGTTTGGTTCATGGAAAAGGAGGCTTGGGGATGGGAAATCAATTGTTTTCCCATATTTGGTAAGTTCAGGCATGAAAAATGGTTGCCTGACATATGGGAAAGTATAGGGAAAAGTGAAGCCCTCCTCCTAACTTGGGTTTTGTTTTCCCTCCTCATGGGAAAGTTTGAAAAAATGACTCAACATTAAATGCACATTTTTCATGACTATTTTGTCCCCATTAACAATTTAGAATTACAATATATCATTAAATGCATTCTTGTTTTATTTGATTTAATACGGGTATAATTGAAAAATTATACAAACTTTGTTTCCATTCATACTCAAAACAAACATGGGAAAGGAAATGAAGTGATATCTCCCTGTTACTTTCATAGCATTTCCTAACGTAGGAAATGAATTTTCCACTTCCCATCCCTATGTGAAGTGATTTTCCCTCAAATCTGTTCCGTGAACCAAATGGGGAGGGCGGACCTACAAAGGTGCTTAACTGGGCTTTAGCCCAGTGCTGTTTTTGTACTTTAGTCTTTATTGTACAACAAAATCCACTACAATTAAATATTAGCCCACTTATCTTTTAGAATTCAGCCTATCCTAGCTACCAAAATTAGATTTTATTTTCTTCTACCCACTGAAATCGTACCATATTTTCTATAACATATATATATAAATATATATAATCCTACCATATAATATTAATTAGCCCAAAAATTCTTGGTTATAAAAGATCTTCCCAAATTTTTTTTTGCCCACACCTAGAAAAATTCATGGGTCCGCCATTGAGAAGCACCACCTACACAAATGATAGGATGAAACCATATGAAACATCAGAGCTAGGAACAGGAGCATAATCTTAAAAAAAAATTCGCACCCCGAACTAATCAATAAAAAACAAAGAAAAGAAAAAAGGAAAGGAAACCAGAACACCCCTACATGTTGCACACCCAAAGTGGCTTTGCCAGCAACAGAAATTGTCAAGAAGAACAAAAAATTAAGAAAAAACTTTCGAAAAACAAAGAGATAGTAAAATAGCATAATCATATAGACAAGAAAAAGAAAAGAAAAACTGCAAATTAGAGAAGCAAAGAAAACCTGCTAAAACAACCCAACACAAACTAAAATACAAAATAAACCAAGAAAACATACAAAACAGCAAGATACCAAAAGAACTTAGAAAAAGCACAATAAACAACAAAGAGTCTAATTTATTAGCAGACTCTATTAGCGGGATGCCCAAGTAAGTTCCCTTCATTCTTTGTGGTTATTGTGCCTTTTCTCTGTTCTTTTGTGGTTTTATTGTACGTTTTCTTTTGGTTTATTGTACGTTTTCTTTGTGTTTTGCAATTTTGTTTTGCTTCTTCTCTTTAACAAGCAAAGATAAGGGTGCAATAGTTATCCATTATAATATTATAATAATATTATTTTTGCCTAATCATGCTCAAATGTGGAATTCTAATAAAGTTGGTGTTGGAAATCAATTAGAAATTAACATATAATATAACAACACGAAAATAAATTATATATATATTAATATCAAATCAAATTAATACAGCAAAGTTCAATAGAATCAAATAGAAAATACTAACATGATTGGGTGATAGTGTTCTGCAGAATTGCAGTGTCCTTTAGACAACATTTCTCCTCTACCTCTTGTGCTTGTAATTCAATAGAAGGCTGCCCACCAGGATTAAACTATCACAAATCAAAGCCTAAGTACAATATTGGCTTTGATTTCTGGCGAACAATGATATGTTTTTCTCTCAGGAAGTAATTATTTGTGGAGAAGTGATAATGTGATTTCAAAATTCTATGTGTAATAGCTTGAACGAATTGTTTGTTATATAGAGGTTTGATACCTCTTCATCCAATAATTGTAATAACTGTTCAAACATAATTCTAAGTAATAAACAAAATTAATTTAATTAACAGAGCCAAGGCCTATCTTTTGACCATTAAATATATATTTATTAGCCAAATATACAGTGAGCTTATATTGAGGGATTCCTCAAATAACTTATTTGAGGGCTTACTCCGTATTGTATTTCACTAATCCAAATCATCTATTTTGTAAATATTCATTGAATGATCATCTCTACCAAAAAAATCACTTGAAACCGATGTCATTTGACCACTCAATTGAATTATTGAAATTTTAGTATTTTTTTGAAGCACCGTGTTCATTTTTTGATCTAATAATTTCTTGGTGCAGCAAACCTTTACATTGTCACCATTGAAATTAGTTTTTTTGTGATTGCTGAGTCTAACTTCTAACAGTCACCACCGTATACGATTTGAATCAAACCCAAGAGAGACCATTCTAAAGAATTTTTCAGATTAATGATTTGTCGAAGTCTCGACAAAAAGAAAACAGAAAAAGAGAAACTTGATATGCAGATCGTATGAAGATTTCCAATCCCCTTCCGCTGCAAAAACAAAGGCTTCAATGTCTCTCTCTGTCCTTTTCTTTCCTGTAAGTGTTATAACAGCATAAAAACGTTTTATCATTTGTTGTGAGTCCCATAGTTTGCGTGACATCATTGTAGCAACGTCACAAATCGTCATAAATTGAAGAACAGAACCTAAGTGGAGAATTACTCATAAATTTATATTGAGGAAAGGAAATATATCAAGAAAGTAGATTTTAAAATAAATAAATAGTACTCTTTCTACTTTATCTTGATTTGCATGTCGGAAAAGATTGATAGAAAAGCGACAAATCCATAATACATGTGAGAGTCAACATGGCACTGTGAAAAGTCTTTCTTCGAAACTTCTTTGCAACCACATCCTTTGCATTTGCCTTAATTTATTATAATTTTTGGAATAGCTTTTAATTTAATTTTTATTTTTATTTCTTTGTCGGAATGTCCTTTTGCCTTAATTATTGGATCAGTGATAAGATGAAGCCACTGCAAACCACCGTAAATTATAAAGTCGATGAATATTAGACAGAAGCAACATATAGGTAGTGGTCCTATTAGTGCCAACAGTTTTCTTTATCCCTCTTACAAACAGAAATTATTGTATGGTATTAGAATATGATCACGTGGTATAATTTGTATATCTATATATATAAAGCAAAATGTAGAGAATGGTGAAACATTCAAAATACTAGAAAATGCCCTTGGTTAATTCAAACATTAAGAATTGAAATTATTAATTAAATGAGGGTAATATGGTAAATTCATATTTTTTATATTAAAAAAATTAAAATTAAAAACAAAATTAGATAATAGGTCTTACGTTTATGGAACATAACTACCCATGTTATCTTTTCTTAATTCTAAAAATAAAATAAAAAATAAAAAATAAAACCAATTGGCACATGCGAAGGGGCTAGTATGTTATAATATGGATGGACAGCATAGACCAATCACAGTGAGATATATGTACAAAAGTACCTCATCAAATTTACAAAATAAAAAGTTAGACACACATGTCAGATTGTGATTTGTTTATAAGATGGAATGACTCCTTACATATGCAATGAGCCAAAGATTTTTCTTAATCCGTTTGGATGGAGGAAATTAACTCCGAATTGAGCTAAAAGTTAATAATTGAAGAGGAGAAATTGATAGTAAATGACGTGTGGAAAAAATTCGTGGAAAATGGTTTTCGAAATTTATGAGTTTAATTTCCCCAAAAGAGGCATCATTTCACACTTTCTATTGAGTAAGAATTTGTTTTTCAAGTAGTTTCTATCATTTATAAAATTTGACATATATAAATCTAAACACTGAAATTATTTATTATAAAAAATTTAAATAATAGAAATATAAATTCCATCATTTTAGAATTCTAAACAATTTTTAATTCGTTCATCCAAATCAAAGGTAAAGATTGCCCTAGTATACTGGGTACGAAAAGTACCAAAACAAACCCAAATACCCGTGCTATTGTTGACCTTTTTAGTAGAATTTATCTTATCTATTTCTAGTGTAATACGTGTTCTTGGACTTGCGGTGATTATTAACAGGTGGCATTGGTTTTCACTTATCTCGGATTGGTGTCGGCTTCTAATGTTAATTTCTTTTGCTCATTGTTCTGGGTTTCTGTAGGTGTATTGTCAAATTTTTGTATTTGCCAGAAGCCTCATCCAAAATTGTATTTCGCCCCTTGTTGCTGTATGAAGGGAAAACAAATAAGGTTCTTCAAAAAAACATATTGGTTGAGACTTACTTTTTCTTGCCGAACACATGTATCACGAGTCAACCTACTTTCTTTCTTCCTTCTTCTTTCTCTTTTCTATTTTTCATTTAATTATTTTTGGGTCCCCCTTTTTCTTTTGTGCATTTACACGTTATACAAACTGATATAAACAATTCATGATGATTAAATGGGAGCTTTCCAGTTCTTAACTTTACCTTATCTTCAACTTTATATCACATGTTGTACTAATCCTTTTAAAAGCAAGACACTTTGTGTGTGCATTTTTTTTTGACGATACGGTCCTTTTAAGTGATCTTGATGCTTGTTATCAATTTTGTGCATAATTAAGTTAGTTTCTTGGTATTTAACTCTTTTAATGTTTTTAATTATAAAATTTAATTTTCCTTCCCTAGCATACATGTCAATTTACTCTTCAATATGAACTTTAACTAATTAAATACGATTTTCCCGACTTCAAATAATTAAATATAACTGGGGACGTGGAGTTGTTGGACTCTGATATCATGAAGCAAGTTGAGTTTCCATCCCAAAATCAATTGGGAATGGAGGGAGTGACCAAACTTCTTATAAGCCATTTGTGAGATTTCTTAACTTTTCAACGTAGGACATTTCTTCCCATTCTCATATATACATATACATACACATATATATATATATATATATATGTATAATTATTATCACACCTTTTGTCAGATAAAAATGGTGTCTAGAAATGTAAATATAGAATGAAAACTGAAATGAAAGGACTTGCATAATCACTCTACAGTGAGAGGCATGAAAGATGAATACGGAGAGACCAAGCCAAATTAAAAGATGAGTGAGAAACTCAGGGTGAATTTCTCTGTCTTCCCTCCACCACCCCACTCTATCTTAAAGGGTCTATAAATAGGGAGAGCCAATCCCCATTATGTTCACTCAGAAATCACGTCTTATTTGTCTTGTTAATTATAAGCAAAAATATGGCATCCTCGAAAACTTTACTTCTTCTTGGGCTTATGTTCGCTGTTGTCATCCTCATCTTCTCTGAGGTCTCAGCTCGTGAGCTAGCTGGAACTACTACTCCACCTAGTCGTGAGTTTCTCCCTTTGTTAACAAAAACATATAAGTCTCTTTTATTCCTCTCTGATTTCTGAATTTAATTTATGCATGACATCTATCCTTTAGTTGACGAGACGTAATAACATATCAATAATTTTTTACAAATCTGGATGTTTCATCATTTTGCATGTACGTACGTATATATAGGTCGACGCATACTTTTTATATATTCATTTATCTTATTCTATCTTTATATATAAAAGGAGGCGCAGTGTCATGTAACCGTCCAGGCGCACTGTGCCATGGCCGTGGAGAAAAAGGCAATAACCCTAAACCTGGAGGAGAGCATTGTAAAAATAATCCAAGTGTCAGAGAGTGCTATAAGCATGGAGGTCATGAACGTGGAGGAGAGGAAGACCCTATCCACAAAAGGCATGGTCATGAACATGGAGGAGAGCATGACCCCAACCATAACGGCCATGGTCATGAAAAGGGAGGAAAGCTTGACCCCATCCATGGAGGGAAAGGCCACGGTCACGAACGCGGAGGAGAGGGAGACCCTAACCATGGAGCCCATTGTAAACGTGGAGAAACCAATAGAGCATGCTACGGGCATGGAGGTCATGAACGTGGAGGAGAGGGAGACCCCTTTAACCATGGCAGCAAAAACAGACCAGGACAACCAGGCACCGCTGAGACCGAAACAAAGAATTAGATAAAACCTTGGCCTGTGTACGTGTGTGGAAAGTTTGTTTGTCAATAAAAAGGTCTATTACATATGTTGGTTGAGTAGTTGTGAACACTCAGGCAAAATCAGACCTACTATATAAGGTTTATCTCTGTACTGTTACGTAATGTAGTCTTGGATCCTGCTTGTTATATGTACTTAATGCATGTGTTTTAATTTTCTGAATTGATATTGCGTGTGGAAAGTGTCTAGAACTTCAATTTTACCTTTGCTTGCTTACCGAGTTCCATTTGAAATCTCACAATTTTCTTTTTTGATTTGTGTCATGAATAAATAATAAACTAAACTATGAGAGGGACCAAATAGAACTAATGCACACCCACACACACTACTACATTTGTGAAATACAATTGGGCACAAAAAGTATCAATTATGGTCAATCAATGCAACTAGCTTCTAAATATGGGTGGTTACTATAGATGGTCATTTGTACTACATCAGGATCCAACAAAATATTACCCACCTCCGCCCAATAGATAGGTGACTTACAAGGTGTACCATACAACGTTTCATATGGTGACATGCCAATACTGGAGTGATAATTGTTGTGATTAAAAAGAGGCATCTCTCACACGTGTGGAGAGGCTAGTAAATAATAAAATATTTAGTTTGTTTAATCTTAACAATTCATTGTAGTTTAATCTAATGGTTGAAAATTTGTGTAAAAAATTGTGCAAAAAATATGATGCCGTGAATTCGCCACCCACATATATATACAGGGGCGGAGCTAGAATTGTAAAATTGGGGGGGCCGAAGTTAAAAATACAAGTATATAACGCACCTAAGTATTCAATAATTACATATTTAGAACTAAATATTTCTAATTGAGTCATGTCTAATTTGTTTTGGAGAAAATTTTAACTTAATTAATAAGTTGTTTATTACAAATTCTACATGGGGGGATAAAAATATGGGGGGCCAGGGCCACTCCAGGTCTAGGAGTGGCTCCGCCACTGTATATATATATATATATATATATATATCGCCACCCATATATATATATATATACACAAGGAGCTTTAGTTGAGGGATCCCTCAAATAAGCTTATTTGAGGGACACCTTTGTAGGGCCCATTCCGTATTGTATTTCACTAATCCAAACTTTCTATTTTGTAGATACTTATTCAAAGATCATCTCTACAAAAAAAATAAAAAAATCACTTGAATCTGATATCATTTGACCACTCAATTGATGTATTGAAATTTTAGTACTTTCTTGAAGCACTATGTACATTGATTTTGTAGGACACAATTGGATGTCGAAACGGTTTCCGATTCGTCTAATTTTTTTGCAAGGATGATTTATGAATGTAGACTTAAAAAATTGATGGTTTGGATCATTGGAAAAAAATTCGTAGAGGACCCTAAAGGGTGTCCCTCAAATAAAATTATTTGAGGGATCCCTCAACATAAGGGGATTGTATATGCATATACAGTTATTATCTTGTCTGCACATTATTACCGTACGGATGCAATAGTAAACATGGAAGAAAGTAGGGACGGGTAGTAAAAAATACATGCCGTTTGCACGATAATAATGTTTGGACCGTCTAGTAGAAAATAAACATATTTGAGGTTCACCCTTGTATGACCCACTACACATTATAATTAATTATCCGAACTGCCTAGTTTTTAAATATTCCCTCAAAGATCATATATGCAAAAAAGCATTTGAATCCGAAACCATTTGGCTACTCAACTATATGGTTGTTATTATAAACTTTTCTTGAAGCACCGTGTTTGTGTATTTTATTGGTTCCAATTAGATACATTTTTTATTTTTAATTTACATGATTTTTTCCAAGAACGATCTATGAATGAAGGTCTAAAAAATAGATGATTTGGATCGATGAAATTTTTTCCGTAGAGTAACCTAAAGGATGTCCCTCAAATAAAATTATTTTAGAGATCCCTCAATTAAAGAGGAATATATATATTAGAAATTAAGGCTTTTTCCTTAAGCAAAGATAAAGACACAATCGTTATCCATTTATTAATCCTGCTCAAATGTGGAATTCTAATAAAGTTGGGTGCATTAGTGTTTGTATGATATTATCTTTTTCTTATAAAATAGTTTGGATGACATCATTGTAGTACATCACATAAGTCCTCATAATTTGAGAAGCCATTAAATTAGACCTAAAAGTGGGTGACCACAAGTCTCTTGGACTATATGAGTCCAAAAAATGGGATTGTATGTATATATATGGAGGAAAAGAAATATATCAAGCAAGAATATTGTAAAAGATTCTAGAAAAACGACAAATCAACAATACATGACAGTGCGAAAAGTCTTATTGTTCAAAACTTTTTATTTTGGTAGAGAGGAGGGCTAAAGCCCAATACAAAACACTAACTAATTAATTAAATATTAAATGGTCCATAGCAAGGGAGCATCCCAAATATGGAGACCCAGAGGCTTAATAATTTGAAAAAAAAAAAAAAAAAAAACATATCAACAAATAATTGTTTTCCCTAAACACATGATGAATCTGACACATACATTAGACAAAATAGATTTGCAACAAGATATAAGACTGAACAACGGGTGCAAAGGATCACAACTAAGAGTATTATGACCTAATTTTTTATTTTTTATTTTGTATGAATGCCTTTTAGCTTAGTTAGATCCATAATAAGATGAAACCACCGAAGTTTATAAAGTTGATGAATATCCTTACACAATGGTAATTTTCCTTCTAAATAAACAAAATAAATCTTAAATTTTAACCTGGTGATTATTTGTTTATGTCTAATCTCATTTATTTTTCAACTAATTTTGTTAGTAGTGTATTAGAAAAAACTATTAGTGTGCTCAAAATCATAAATTAATTGATGAATGGTCTTTAGAGTAGTGGCGGAGGTAGAGTTTGATATTTGGAGGGGCCACAAGCTTAAAACTATGGGATTTTTGTGTGCAATCTATACTACACTCTTTATACAGTCAAAGAGGTGAGAAGATGTTAGGGGGGCCCAGGCCATCTCAGGCCTATGAATAGCTCCGCCCCTGCTTTAGAGGATCCTCTTTATAATTTTAGTTTCCGTCTTTAAAAAATTTAGTTGAGACTACAATTTTTTTTAAAATTAGTGAACACATGTATCACGAGTCAACCTACTTTCTTTCTTCTTGTTTTCCCTTTTTTTTTTTGGGTGTGCATTTACACGTACAAACTGATTTAAACAATTCCTACACAACAGCTATTTGATGATAAAATGGAAGCTTTCCAGTCGAGCTATTTTCTGTTAATTTAACTTTAACTTTATGTCACACTGAGTCTACTAATCCTCTTACGAGCAAGACTTTTTTTTTGTTCCTGAGCTTTGAAGTAAGACACTTTTGTGTGCATTTCTTTTGACGATTATGTCCTTTTTAGGTAGAGCTTGAGCTTGTTTATTAATTATCTGCGTTAGTTTCTGGTACTTAATGTTTTTTTCTTTGCATACATGGCTTAAGCCAGTTGGTTCAGATAGTGAGTTTGTCTTCATACATACTTTAAAGAGAGACTCCAATATAAGCCCATACAACTGATATCCCCTAGACACAAACCCATCTATCTATATAACTACGTTGAAAACCCAAATTCAAATTTAAATGACCAGTAGGATATAAGAGGTCGTAGTATTTCTATGTTTTTACATCATTGCCACTAAACTTCATATTTTATTTATAATTTATTTCAAGCATTTCATTAACTGCCATAATTGTAATTAATATACTCCCTATTAATAGCATATCAATCACCCCATTTCTTTTAGTTGTCATTCCCTCTCACATCTCGCCCCCTAAAATTGCAAACAAAAAAAAAATCTGTGAATTACATATCCAATAATGTACCTATGAAAAATATAATATAAATATATACATATAAAATATAGGTATATTATTTACCCAAAAAAAAAAGTCAGTTACTTTGTAATTGCGTATATTTTTCATAATTAAAAATAGGTACACAATAATTATATAAAATATAGGTACATTATTTGAAGAGGAAAGATAGGTACATTATTAGAGGAAAAAAATTGGTAAGTTATTTGGAGAGAGAAAATAGGTTCATTTAAAAAAATTACGTTTGATAAAACAAATAATAGGTACTTTATTCAGAGAAAAAAGGCTATATTATTTATAGTAAAAATAGGTACATTATTTAGATAAATAATAGGTACTTTATTCGTAGTAGGTATATTATTCAAATGGTAGGTACATTGGATGACATATAATACCTAAATCCTAATTGTAAGTACATTAAAATTAATGTAGGTATATTGGAATAGATAATTATGTACACTTTTCATACTAGGTAAATTATATTTTTCATAAAACAAATAGGTACATTATTTTTTCAACATAATTAGTATGTACAGTTTTATTCATAAACAATTATAAAGTGGATTATTAGTCATGTATAATTCATAAAAAGAAAATAACATAAACATTTTATTAAACAAACCAATTACCCAAATTTGAATTTATTGTTAAATTTTTTTTAAAATGTTCCAAAATTAATTCCTACATCTATTACAACCATTTGGAGATATTTCCAAATTCAACATCTGTCATTATATACAATCCAATTAAAAACTGTTTCCATATTGATTCCTACATTAATATACAAAATGCAATAATGGCTTAGTTGGGGGTATTTTTGGAATCTGAAAAGTACAATAAATCAAATTTTATGCTTAATTAGGTAACTTGCTGAGTTGGATCCTAGTCATGGGTTTTTACTTATACAAATTGGGTATTATTTATAGGAACAAAAAGTGAAGGGTTTTAAGTATAGCAAATTGAATTTAAAGGGTGTAAGCCAAATTTACTATACTTTAAATATACGGAGTATCCAATCCAATACTAGTTACCAAAATAACCATTTGTGTCTGGAAATATAAATATAAGAACGGAAACTGAAATTGAAAAGACTTTTGTAATCACTCTACAGTGAGAGACATGAAAAATAAATATTATAATGAGTGAGAATACTATTCCACCTATTCGTGAGTTTCTTCCTTTGTTAACAAAATATATATATATATATATAGTTGTCTTTTATTCCTCAGATTTGTGAATTTAATTCAGCACATCATGCATACAAATCTATGACATATCAATAAATTTTTGATAAATTATCCTGATTTGTCCGTATTTAACATTTTTGTTTCTATGTTAACTCAGGATTTATTAGTTCGAAATTAATTATGATTGTTGTACGTAATCTTGGATTAATCTTCCTATGGAAATAGCTCCTCTACAACTACGCAATTTATATAGTTGTGAATGTGCTATTAATTAGTAAGATTATTCTAACATTCAAGATAAGTTCTATAAGGAGAATGCCCCAATCAAGAAATATATTTATTTTTTAGTCCCCTACTTTATTCACAAATGGAAATATTTTTCCTCACTACTTCAATCTAAGGTGTATCATCACAACCCTTTTTAATACTTGACACTGTTGCGTGCGCAAATCTCACGGTCTGGTGCTCCGGGCCGAGGGGATGTGCATGAACACGTGACGTCCTTCTTTTGGATGCAGTGCGGTTGTGCGCGGGCGTGCCAGCACGGTCTACCGTGCGTTGAGATGGTGATGGGGTTGGGGTAGAAGATGTTCAAGTGGTGCGCCTATTTCGAGTTGGACTTCTAATCAAAACGATTGTGGCCGAGAGAGGAACTTATCTCGGCTGTTAGGTTCACGGCCTGAGCTACAAGGCCGTTTAGTGGTGGTGTTGGTGGTGGATTTTGGGCGGTGCTCCGGCGCATTGCTCAGAGAGCGACGGTCGTATGATATATGGGGTGAATGAGACGATAACAAGGATGGTACTCCGGCGCCTTGAAAAATCAAGGGTCGTATGATATATTGATGAATGGATTTCTTTACAATCTACCGCTACTCCTAGGAAAGCAATTAAAGATATTGAAAGTGCGTTATAGGAAAAATAAGTTGCTTCGTGGGAGACTTTGGTTTGGTGTTGGACCCCTTGAACGTGGTCTTGAGCTTAGTATCTATAGGGGGAGTCTTGGAGGGCCAATCGAGGCTGAAAAGATCTGCCTGGTGGCTGAAAAGATCTGCATGGTGGAGTCTGATTGGGGCAAGTGGGTAGTCAAATCGGCATTTGGGATCGTGAAGCATGGTGGTGTGACCCCCATAAATCTCCGCAAATCTCGGCCACCGCCCTGATCGTGGGTTCTGCACTCTTGGCAGTGGGAACGCATTTAATGCCCTGGTCTAGTGGTTGGTGATCTGACCTCAAGTTGTGAGAATGTTTGTAACCACTATGATTACCAAATCCTGACTTCAGTCACTTCCCTTCTGCCCTCGTGCATTAAATGCTTCTTGCATCCAGTGGGTTTGTTGCGATAGTCAAAGGCACTACTTCATTAAATGGGGCGTGGGACCCTGAGGCCACGTGGCGATTTACACCATAGTATCCTCGGCCGTGTCTCCCATGGTCTTCGGCCTCGACCCATAATACCGCGGTCGCGAGGCTGAGAGCATTTTGCCTTCGCATCCTTTTGTTTTTTAAGAAGACAAAATGCCTAATGAAACGTGACCGTTTCTGTTCATGAGTGGGTGTCCTGGCCGAGAGGAAGTCCCTTCTTACGACCGTGATTTATTAGGCACAAACAGACACGTGTCCATAGGCATAATCTTGGTTAACTTTTTACTTTGTACTTATGAAACCATGATTATATATATAGACACGTGTAAGTATTGAGCATGGTGATGAGAATACACCTTGAGTTAAAGTGGTGAGCAAAAATGTTTTCATTCACAAATATATTACTAGTTGGTTTCCAATTTAATGAATTGACTTTCATTTTTGCAAAATTGTTCCTCAAAAGAGGATTTAAAAAATGGATATTTATGAGTACCTGTTTTTTTTCTTTCTCAGAAAAATACATCCTATCTCATATATGGATATAAAACACAGTATTTGGACCATCACCAAAAGAAATTTTTATTCACACACAAATTTGTACAAATCTGGATGTTTAGTCATTTTGCATGAAGTACTGTACATATGTATACGTCGACTTATATTTTGTTATATTCTTTTTTCTTATTCTCTCTATATATGAAGAGAATGGTGGAAAAGGAGGACGTGTAGTGCATTGTAAAGTTGAAGAAAAAGAGTGCTAAAAGCATGGAGGGAAAGGCAACCTTGAACGTGGAGGAGAGGCTGACCCGGTCATCGGCCATGGAGGGACAGGAGAACGTGGAGCGCATTGTAAAGGTACAGAAAGAACGTGCTACAAGTATGGAGGAAAAGGCTATGGTCATGATGGTGGAGGAGAGCAAGACCCCATCCATAAAGGCCAAAAGTGAATTTGCTGTGGCAATGGGTGGAAACACACATTGCTTTTTGCAAGGGCAGCCACTATTATTCACTTGAATAGTGTCTGCCCTAGCCCCTCTTTGCTCTTTGTCATGGCAAATGGATGGAATCGCTCTAAGCCCTTGCCGATTTAGCCCAAACCCACAATCACCCTTCCTCTCTCTCTCTCTCTCTCTCTCTCTCTCTCTCTCTCTCTATCTCTCTCTCTCTCTCTCTCTCTCTCTCTATCTCTCTCTCTCTTTGTGACCTAGCTCAACTCTCTTCCCGTCCTTACTGGCAGCCAGCCCAGACGAAGACAGAGAACCACCCTATCCCACTCTACAACAGCCCACTTTTTTCCTCCTTCACATAAATTTTAATAAATTCTAACACAAAATTCCAAAATTGTGAATTAAAAGTCCATTCTTTGATTTTTGGTGAGTGCAAAATGGTGGAACTGAATTCATCGACCATGGGTGTGAGTCGTCTGGTTTGGTGTTGAGAGTATGAGGGTTTCAGTGGGTTTTCGAGTATGAGAATTGTTGTACTACCAGGAGATATAAGCATCAGATTGCATGAATGGTTTTTGAATATTTGGGTTTTGAATTCTGTTACAATAGGAATTAATTTTGATTTTGTTTCTCTTTGAATTTGGGTTCTTTTGGATTTTGTGACTGGGTTGCTGTGGTGGTGTTGGAGGGGTCGGAAGGTCGGGAAGGAAATGTTATTAACACTCTCAGATCTTTGAACATAGAGGGGCTCAATTAGAGAGATGGTGCAGAGTGGGGTTGCCATTGGAGTAGGAAGAAAAGGTGTTGGTGCTTGGCAACGGGTTAAACTCAAGCCCCGTTTGGTTCATGGAAAAGGAGACTTGGGAATGGGAAATCAATTACTTTTCCATGTTTGGTAAGTCTATAATGGGAAATCATTGCCTAGCCCATGGGAAAGTAGGGGGGAAAGTGAAGCCACCCTCCCAACTTGAGTTTTGTTTTCCCTCCTCATGGGAAAGTTTGGGGAAATGAACTAACATTAAATACACATTTTTCATGACCATTTTGTCCCCATTAACAATTTAGAATTACAATATATTAATAAATTCATTCTTTTTTATTTAATTTAATATGGGTATAATTGAAAATTTGTACAAACTTTGTTTTCCATTCCTACTCAAAACAAACATGGGAAAGGAAATAAAGTGCTATCTTGCGGTTACTTTCCCAGCATTACCAAACGTGGGAAAGGAATCTTCCATTTCTCATCCCTTGGGAAATGACATGGAAAATGATTTCCCCTCAAATTCATTCCATGAACCAAACAGGCCTAAAAGTGAATGAGAGAGAGAGAATGAGAGAGAGAGAGAGAGAGAGAGAGAGAGAGAGAGAGAGAGAGAGAGAGGAATGAGAAGATCTTTTTGATAGAATTCATATTGAGAAGGAAAAAGGTCTACAGGTATTGAGAAAAGCAATATGTCTATATTTCTATTAATATTGATGATGGGTTACAATCAATGTATGAGACAATAAAAGACTATCGCTCTTGACATTACAATTGAGGCAAAGGGTGTATATATGTATACACTAGAGACTATACAGAAAACCCTAGGACAAGGACCCACGAGGATGACTCAGCGGATAAGAACAAGGAATATACTTGTGTTGAATATGCCTTTGTGATCGTTGAAGCACAGCAACTGTCATAGCATGGGTATGTTAACCATTTTCTGGTTTTTGCTGGGTGTGATGATCATTTTGATCAACCATAGAGTTATGGCTAATACTTTTGGCTGTGGGGAAGGGTGGCTGGGCTGTTCGAGATAAGGTAGTGGGGAGGGTTGGAGCTGTTGGTTTGTGTAAAATGCGTATTTTTAATTTTTTGTTATTTTAACAAAAACAAATAGACTTAACAGAGTTAAGTGGTTTGCCATATGTCAAAAAGTAAGGAAGCAAATGGGGTGGGCACATGCCAGTACCAGCGAAACTGGACTCGAAATTATTGACCTTTAGGCATCTTGATTAATAACTTTGACGGTTAGTGGAGAAAAATTTATTGGTCGCACGTTAGCGTGGGCGGAGTGGAGCAGCTATAGTTGAGCGCCACTTCGCACGTTATTTGAACACTGAATCGAAGACGTACAGAGATCGAGCTTGAAATGATGAATATTTAAATAAATCGAAAAATGAAAATAATGTGCGAAGTGGTATAAATCAAGAATTAAGGACAACGAGGCCTCCTAACCACATGAATGCAGTAGGGAACATGATTCTAAACTATAAGAAAATTCATAATCAAGCGTTAGGAGTTAGGGCATTAGAGAATCGCACCTTTGTAATGTCATAGAGAATTCAGCTTCAAAGCAATACGGCTCAAGCAATAGTAGTCTTTTAGCGAACGAGGCGCTGAAGTTCTTGATTAACTGTGAGAGAGAATCCAGAAATTGTGAGAGAAAGAGATGGAGAGAGAGAAGTGATGAGAACGTTCAAGTCTGAATGAAAAACAAAAGAGGAAATGTCACACCCCGGGATCGGGTCCGTCGTAGCACAATGTTGTTCGCTTTGGGCTCCCCTCTCTGCCCTCATGGTTTTGTTTTTGGGAACTCACGACCAACTTCCCAGTGGGTCACCCATCCTGGGATTGCTCTAGCCTCAACTTGCTTAACTTCAGAGTTCCCATGACTCTAAAGCCAGTGAGCTCCCAAAAGGCATCGTGCTAGATAGAGGTAGGCACGTACATATAAGGCACATCACCCCCTCTCTGTTGGTCGATTTGGGATATTGTTTGAAATTGAAAAAAATCTTATATTTTTAGCAGATTGCAAATATATTGGAGGGTTTCGGGAAGAAAAAAATGAATTTATATATTACGACATACTCAGTTCGTAATATATATATATACATATATATCACGGTGTATATACAATCATGCTGTTAGAAGACACAAATTACCTTTTTAAGGTGTGTTTTCATATACCGTAAATATCAGTTATGAACTACACACATTACTCTCTTTTAAGGTGTGCTTTGTCATATGCCATAAACATGAATTATTAACAACACGAATAGAAAGCATGCCGTAAATAACAAGTCATATAAGCTCCAATTTGGTGCAATGCTTGTAAGATACATAAATCACAGGATGAATTTTCAACTTATGGATGGGAGGAATTTGGATGAATTTCTTCTTTAATTGTATCTTAAGTTGAGAGGTAATTTTGTTATTATCAACCCATCGCATATTTGGGCCAGTTTTCGGAAAAATAGAAAGGTATGATTTTGCGTGTGTGCATTTGATGGGCTTCGTCAAATCTGCCAGGTCTTCTTCTTCGTGAGGAATAAGCATCTTACAAACCATAGCATGCGCAAAGCGTGATAACTGGGAAACACCTGAGGAGATTTGCCACTGCTATGCCTCGACGAGTGCCTTGAAGCGTGGCTTATATCGATTGTCAAATAAAAAACGACGGCTAGTGTTACAAGTGTGGAGTTTTTGTTTGACAATGGGGCCAAAAGTCTCCAAACGATACAGCAAATTAACAAAGTGATGAGGGATTCACTGAGACTCCCATGTTCTCAGCTTACGACCGCTAATCTCTCCTAAGCCGCGCTAAAAGATTTTACGAATTTTAGACCGCCTTCACATTCTTCTTCTCTATTTATACTTTTCCGAGCCTACATGCTTCTCCATCCCAAAATCTTCTAAGCACCCTTAGAAATCTCTCTCGGTCTCACTCTCTCTCTCTGTTTTTATACACTCCGAACAAACATCATGAAAGGCTTCATGGTTTTTCTACTGCTTTCCATGCTAATAGCTTCAGCCATCACTACTCTCTCTGCAATACCAGAAGAAGAAGAATCATTCTTCAATGAGGAAAACAATACTGATGCAAAGGACGAAACCAAAAACCAGTTTGGAAAAAGCACTTCTCTAAGAAGCCGCTTCCTTTCCTACAGCAAGTGTGGGACGAAATGCAATTACTCAGAGATTTGCTGCGAAGGTAAGTGTGTGAATCCGAACTCGGACAATGAAAACTGCGGCAGCTGCAACAACGCGTGCAAGAAAGGCACTTCATGTGCGTATGGAATGTGCAGCTATGCATGAACACTAATTATCATGACGCACCAGATAGATCACTGCTACTGGATCGATAAGGAATAAGGATATTGAAATATTAATTGCAAGGAATAAGGGCTAGCTAACCGTCACCATTCGATGGGCTTTGCCAATAAATTGTTTATTGTAAGGAATCATCAATATTATCATCCCTTAATTAAAAAAGTTCTTATTATTTGTTGATGTTAGTTACTTGTCAGATATAATATATCACCAGAATTCAACCTCTTCCTTTTTATTTTTTATTCTTCCAACTCGCGCACATATAGATGGCAGGAATTTGAATGAATTTTCTTTTTTAGTTGTATACTAACGACGAACTAATTTGATTAAACGGTTAAGAGATAGGATCTCATTTAAGGGCCTTCGATAAGACACTTATTATGGAATCAAACAGTTGTAGAGAGAGGCTCGCTGGAGAAGAAGAAGAAGGGGTTAAGTGTTCCCGGAGCCGTTCCTTTAGAGTTGTTTTTTTTTGTTTTTTTTGTTTTTTTTTCTGAGCTTTATTTGGCATATATAGAGTAGAGAACTTGAAACTTAGTTGTCTTTTTTAAAGCACAATAAATAAGGGCACAAGACGGTTGTTGGGCTTGTAATACGCTAGCAAACCAGAACCAGAGCAGTGATGAATTGATTAGAATTTAGAACAATCAACCTAGTGATATTGGAAGACCTATTCTAATTTCTAAACACTTCTAGAACCAATTATCATAGCGAAATATATATTCTTTTATCTAATTTGAAGCATATATCATCACATTGCGGTCGGTATCTGATATTCTGTACCTGCATACGAAGCTTCCCTATATTTTAAAACAAGATAAAACAATTACATTTATTTTATTATATAATACATTTCAGTTTGGTACGTATAAGGCATTTTGGCATCTTAATTGTAATTTGTATGGTCAAGACTCACGTCTATATTGGCGCCCCAGATGAAATCGAACAATGCGACAAGTGTAGCTACC